ACGATGGTCGAATACACAACCCAGTCCAGTACTTGTGCAGAGATCAAATCAAACAGTAGCAAGTTTCCCGAGAAAGAAATGTAGGCCCTCTGTGCCTATCCAGACCTGGGAGTGGCCTAAGGTGGGATTGCCTTAAGGTCACATTACCAACAAGAAGAAAGTTCAACAGTAAAACCTCTCAACCAAATCGGACCTATTTAAACAACACACCTCGACAGCAGCCACGTGGGCCAGCGACAATCACAAACCAAACACATGGGCCAGCGACGGTCACAAACTTAACAGCAAGGACATGTTTGAGGAATGACACCTCGGCCACAGCCCATGCGCCAGCGACTACGCAACGTTTAAGACACCTCAACTGCAGCAGAGTCAGCGACGATTTGAAGTCTCGCGACGCGAACACCCTGTGATATGATTTGATTAGCTAAATGAGGGGAGATCCAGAGTGTTGAGTGTTCAAGAGCAGAACCATTGACCAAATCAGACTTGTTTGAAGCGCCCCTGGCCTCGGCCGCGGCGACATGGGCCAGCGACGATCGCAAACATGTCTCCGTGGGTTGGTTACTTGGTTGGGTGATTTCCAGGAGAGCGTTCAAGACTAGAACTATTGACCCAATCAGACATGTTTGAGGAGCCCCTGGCCCTCGGCCGCAGCCACATGGGCTAGCGACGATCGCAAACATATATTCGTGGTATGTTTGCTTGATTGGGTGATCTTGACGAGAGCTCGACAGTAGAGTCACAGTTTCAAGAGTTGATGTGGGTGCAAGGTTGAGCCCAGCCTTCACCAGTTGATTTCATGCCCTTGGAATGAGTAGAGAAATGGTGTCCTATCATAATATTAAGTGATGGCTTCCAGTATGGAAAATGTTTGAAATGTTAGAAGCGGAACCACACACGGCACTCCATTTACGTACAACGTACAAAGACGAGCCATAACAAGGCATCCGGTTCATCGTCACTGATTTCGATGGTAATGCATCTGGTCCTATAAGAGTATAACACTTGTCAGTTGCTTGTCGACGAGTTGCACTTTTTTGGTTTGTTTTCATTGCCATTTGTAAGGAATGGTAGGACTTGCTTGTATAGATCTGATATAGCACAGTGCACTTACTAGTGTCGAGCAGCGAATGCTTCTTTTCTCCAAGCTGTTTTGCTCCTTGCTTGATGCTGTATCGAGATTGTCTTTGGAATATGGAGCTGGAGGGATAGAAAATAGAGAGAGAGGGTGACCAGGATCGGGTGGCCCCGAATTTAAAGATCAAATACACCTGAAAGGTTGGAGCTGTTGCTATCCTAGCCTGTACTGTAGCTGTCTGCAGGTATTGAAGTCGCGAACATTAGAATGTCTTGTTGGGAGTTTTAGACATTCCTAGGAACTTTTTAACATAGTCTAAACAACGTTTACAAGATGCGCATCATAAGAATCCTATTACTTTTAAAGAGTTTGATGTTATATATTATTATTACAGTTGCAATCTTGAGGTTCTTCAGATCTTGCCAGCAAGATCCAACAAATCATTCCAATCATCTCCACCACTACCTTCTATAGGAACCTCTAGCTTCACAGGCTGCTCCAGATTCTTATACCTCCTATCCCAATCATCATTCATCTGTATGTGTGATATCATGTCCTCATTACCATCATCCTTTTCCTCCTCTTTCAGCGCCACATTCAACCCACCCAGAGGCTTTGGATACGATTCAATCGGATTATGTGCTGGAATAGGTGGTCGTGCCGACATTTGCGAATATGACCGTATAGGTGTTTTGCCCTTTTCGTCTCGTTTGTCCTGCGTAAGTGGTACATAAATACTTGATTCTGTTGATGCGGTAGATACTCTATTTGTTGGTGACATGAATGGGTTTAAGAGTGCGTATTCTTCGAATGAGGGGATTGGCGAGAGGGATCTGTATGTGTATGGGGATGTTGGTTGCGGTGATGTTGATTCCATTTCGATGGGATTTGTGGGGCTTGGAGATGCGATTGAGTAGTCTTCTACTATGCCGTGATGGTCCTTGGCGGAAGTAATATTACTATTAAGTGGTTGGCCAGGTGCAGCGCTCATAAATGCCGGAGTGATTCTACCTGTCATGTTACTGCGAGCTTCTACATGTGTTTCGACACTAGGGACTGGAGATGGAGACACACTTCTCGTCACGTCAGGAGTCATTGGCTTCGTAGTAGGTATTTCTGCTAAACTATATATAGATGTTGCCGATACTGGTGACGATTTCATAGACGACGCATAAAGCGGTGATCCTATATTATCTACTACAGTTCTATCATCACTCCCAACAGCAGATCGAGATGGACTTACTGGCGATGTGGGTTGTGGAGTAATCACGACATGATTCAAGACTGGGATTTTCGAATTGCTGTTGGCACTGCTAGACACTGAATCATTCCTTGACGGGACTGAATTCGTGACAGAGTTACTACGTGCTGCGTCCGACGACGTCGTAGAATAGTCATTATTCCTAGGATTCGAAGTTACGGATTGCGTATACCCCGTAGCGCCAGTTCCAAACTCTCCAGTTCCAAATCCTTCATCACTGAGACTGCCTATTGTACCTTTACTCATCATACTATGCTGGGTCGGTGGCGAGACGACCGTTCCACGAGGTGTTATAAACTGTCCATTCGGTAGCCGTAGTGCTGCTAGAGCAGGTGGTGATGGTCTTGTAGGTCTATTCAGTGATGTCTGACGATAATTCAATCCAGTTTCTGGTGCCTTCAGCGAAGATTCACTAGAGTTAGAAGGCAGCGCGGTAGCAGCTCGTATTCCTGATCCTACTAACGCAGGTTCTGGCACAGATGTCATAATCAAACCGCTTATAGACGGTGTTTGGTGCATGGGGATTGCGCCAGCTGGTGGTTTGTACATGTCATATGCTGGTGGCGATGATAGTTTGAAATCAGAGGATGCGGCGTCACTCCAATTTGATTCACTGTAGGTATCGTCTCGTTGATGGTATTGGACCCATTGGCCACTCGAGTTTTTCCTGTCAATAAGAATAGTTATTAGATGTTTTGTTCGTTCGTGGCAAAAAAGTCTCGTTGCAAGAGAAACCAATGCTTACTTAAAGCCAGACAGTGACTTTCCAGCACGACCAATCAATCGTTTCCGATATACAAAGAGGGCAGCTGCGATGACTATAACAGCAATAATACCACCAACAACTCCACCGATAACTCCACCTGAGACTCCATTACTTGAAGCAGCCACACTGCTTGCACCACTCGTTGCATTTCCTACTGCCGTATTCGTAGCAGCTGCAAACCAAGATCCAGCTGACGGTGAAGCTACAGGCGATGCGTATATAGCATTCGGAGTCGTTCCAGACAGCCATCCATTACTCAATGTATTAAAAAACCATAATCCAGCTCCAGCGCCCACATTACCCGACACAGCCAGTAGATTCGTGCCAACAACAGAAGCACCAATGTCTGAATTAGCAGAAGCCTGAGATAATTGCGTCCATGTATAATTGACGGTGTTGAGTTCCCATAAATCACCTAGATTGGCATCTTCTTGCCTTCCTCCATATACATACACTGGATTCAGCACTCCATCCGACTGTGGATTCAATGCTCTGCCACCACTACAAGCATGGTTTTCTCGGGCGACAGGTGCAGCATTCCCGAAAACCACTTCCGTCCAGGCATTACTACTAGCGTTATAAATCCAAGCATCCGATAACAGCGTACTGACATTATTTATCGTATAACTCCCAAACAGGATAATAAAACTCGACGACGTGAGAGCAACAGCACAATGTCCCCGTCTGGCCACCGGATTATTATTACTAGCCACGCTAACTGCTGTTGCTGTCCCCGTATCTGGATCAATAGCAACCAGATTTGCCAACGACAAGTACGCCTGAGTCGACGTCAACACGCTACCAGTAGCATCATTAGGCCGTGATCCTCCAAACACGTACACCGCGTTCTTCAAGCACGTGGCGGTATGCTTCTCTCTATACGGGAAAATCGATGTAGCTGCTCCAACTATCGGTTTTTGTGACCATATGAATTGTTTTGTGTCAATGGCCCATAGGGATGCGTTCAGATATACGTTCGTGAGTGGAGTTAAGCCTCCGAAACAGTATACCGTGCGGTTTGTATCCCAGTCGCAGGCGTGTCTGTATACGTTCGTAAGGGCGTTGGTGGATGAGAATTGGGTTATGCCGTAAGAGGTTGTTGCGTCTACTATGGCGCCGATGCCAGAGTAGGCTCCTATAAATGAAGTATGTAAGCTCTGGGAAGGCATGTAAAAGGAGGCTTCCAAGGAGATCTGTCCAATTCAAGCACACATCGTGCCAAGGCAACCATGTTTTTAGAATGCATGCGCAAAGAATCTCAAACTCTTTGATCACTTCAAATACACAAGATCTGCCTGTAGACAAGCACCAAATCAGCTTCACAGCATACCATTTGATCCAACTCCACCATGCACAAAAACGCCAGTAGAAATCGACACTACGGCATTTCCGCTATAGCCGGTTACGTTTCCTCTGAGCGTAATCTGAGCATCGGTCGATGATGCAAGCAATATCAGGGCGACCGATAGCAGGAAGTTTGTCAAAGACACCGATTCCACCATGGTGCTTCTTTTGGGCTTGGACGCTGATGCTGCTTACAAGATGGGGGAGGAGATGTTAAAGATAAGATAGCGATGCGATTAGCGGAACACAGCTAGCGCTTACCTCCCCTTTCCTGAAGGCCTCTTTCTTTACCTCTAAATGTTTTGTGGGCAGCTAACTTTCTTTCTTCAGGGCAAAAACGGAAAGGTCGTACACGAAATTTATCGGCGTTCTGGGGTAGTGCTGGCACGTTCATATGAATGTTCGCGCTGTACGCCAGTTATTTATACGTACCAGATAACTACACGGACGCTTTCAGTCAGATCAATAACAATACCAACGATTGGGGGTTAACAATTCCAAACCATGTTTTTAAGTTATAAATGATATCAAATCTCCTTCGTCTTGTTCTATACAGTCGAATACATGTATTCTCCTCCCAGACCTACATATTCAAACGTGGTGTCGTGAGTATAACCTTTAAGCATCGGTCAAGGCCACTGGCAACACCGTGGCCCAGCACACAATAACTGAGTAAATCCTTGTAAACCCTTACCATCATATTCGCCTTCATCAGTAAATCCTTTGGGACGTTTCATAGCACGTCTATCTCCAGAAAATACGTTTGGATAGAACATACGGTATGAGATGTATGCAATCGTCAGTCCAAGGAGGGATCCAGCCAATACGTCCTGGTTAAGAAATGAATTATGTGAGTAAATGATATCTTAACGAATGTGTCTGCTTTCCTGGTAATGTTTTTTTTTTAGCGTAAAACATACCGTTGGATGATGCTTGTTCTCTTCAGTTCTACTGATGGCTACATACGCAGCCCACATGAGTGGACAGACACACAATATCATTGATAAGACTGTGTGGCGCAAAACGTCAATTAGTCTGATCTTGATGCCCAAAAAAACGTTAATAATGCGACATCATACCTCGTCCATCATTGGGCTTTTCATCCAGACACCAGGCAGACAGCTTACCCGCAAGATATAAGCTAACCCATCCCATTCCAACGAAGGAGGATGAGGAATGTCCCGATGGGAACGATTCACGTCCATCTCTAACGATCTTGGGATCGCCTGTACAGACCATAGCAATTAGATCCATATCGCATCTGTCCAGGAAGTCCGGACGAAACCGGCCCATCCATGCTTTAAGGGTATCCGTTACAACTTTTGTCGCACCTATCGTTCCTCGTGTCAATATAGCTCAAAATCACCAAGCTCAAATCATCTCGAATCATACACATACCAGTAGCCAACAACAAACTCAGCGCCGCATGATGAAAATCATGCAACAAGTACGCCAACGACTCTCTAGCCAGATACTTCCTAATAACCCTCGAATCCGATCTATAATAGTCATGCCCCCATCTAGACACCAATAGCAGAGCGTGGTATGCAATACAGCACGTCATTGGCACGAAAACGGTTAGGAATGCGACTAGTTTCATAGGCACTATATCGCCTGCGTGGAACGGGCGAGTGATGTCAGGATCTAGGAGATTGATTTCGCGGAGGTAGGGTTGGAAGCTTGATGTCCATGTTGTTAGACCCCACTAAGAATGGAATTGGGTTTAGGAACGATGCTGTTTAAGAGGAAAGCACAGGCAACACGTACCAAAGCAGCTGCTACAAGGAAATCCACGATATAAAAGAAGGACCACCAGGGAAACAAGTCAGTTAATAGAGATCTAGGTTGCTCTGCAGCCTCCGTTGGTGGTGGCTATAGGAGATATTTAGAGATATTTAGGTATGCTACAAGCATGAGCTGTAGTGTTGGCCAAACCCAAACCGACTGAAACTAAAGTTTCAACAACATAAGCTGTTGGACCAACACATCCAGCACCACACAATGTGGAAACGATAGTTCCAACAACACACGACAACATATGCTAGCTTACGAAATAAGTCGTTTGTCTGTAAGTGTCTGTACGTGATGATGGTCTCTGAGGCAGTAACCTCGGCGAGATGGCGTCAATTATGGACGATGGTGTATGGCGTCCGATTTCTGGCGGGGTCCTTCCAAGCAGCGGTTGCTTTGGATTGGTGGTGCTGTTGCTCGCCATGTCAACGAGTTCAATTGAATCCGTCACAGCTTCAAGCTTGGATGATGAATGGGTAATATTTGAAGGTGGACAAATTGTAAGTTTACAGGTAAAAAATGAGGCGCTTGATGCGATGAGCTCTTACCTTTCCAGCACTGCCCTTTGCCAATGAAATTAGCGAGAAACAGTTTTGTTGAGATAACACCAGTGCGGACAGGACGATGCCAAGCTAATGACGTGTTTTTAAGCATCATAGACGCCTTAAAAATCTAAATTCAAAATCCAAAAAGTACCTAGTTAATATCTTCTTGGACCAAGCGACAAAGTGCTGGGTGATCTCATCACATCAATTGCTTGCGACCTTTGTGACCTATTGTTTCATACGAATAAAATCTACCTAGGCTGCAGATTCGTTTGCTTGTCTTAAAGGCACGATCGTCTATTTCAATTGTAGCAATAGACAGCACTTTGATCCAAATGGAGTGTTGGGAGGATCTAATTGTGTCAGTGATTGACGCAGCTAAGAATGCCTGAATGCCAAAGAAAATATTTGGAATATATCACGCTTCAACGCACGTGAACTCCCGGACGTGAAACTTTTGCACTTTTGAATCATCTAACATGTGCCATGTTCATGGCGGCACTCTTGCACAAATATTCATTGGTAATCTGGCTCACGCCGAATAGTACAGCAAGTCCCCGATTGGCTCTATACATTTTTCGATTCCTCTACACATTTACTACTATGAGGTTTATTCGTTCTTAATGGCACATGTAATATAATTAGCTTGTAATGCAATCTCTCTCACAACTCCACTATCCGCAAGCCTCCACTCTTGCCCCAATGGATCAAACAATAGCCCCGAGACATCAACAACCCGACACGACACTCTTGATATCTCGGATTCAAGTTCTTGTGGTGTCACGTATTGTTCATGTGTATGAGTACCTGCAGATACGAGTTTCAGTACCTGTTCCGCCATTAGGATCGTGAGGAAGTATGATATGGGTGTTCGGTTTATTGTTGATACGAATAGGAGGCCGTTTGGCTATATGAATAGATATCAGTGAGAAATGATAATGTATGAAGACGCAGATTTGATTATACCTTGAGTAATTGAGCACACGATTGTAAAAAGAGATGCCGATCTGAAACGTGCTCTATGATCTCTAGGGCACAAACCACGTCAAACGTTGAGGCGTGAGTTTCCGCCAGTTGCTCTATAAACGAATAGGTAAGTAGGGCTGAATCCAAATGGCAAGTGTGTACTACATACCAGCGGTAGTATTGATATACTTGACATTGGCCCTGACCAATGGATCCTCCCTCCCATGCATTTCCGCGACTCTCACACCAACAGGATCAGCATCAATACCAGTCACATTCGCCCCTAATCTAGCCAATCCTTCACTCAATAGTCCACCTCCACATCCAACATCAAGTATCGATTTGCTATGAAGTGCTTGATGTATATGATTATATGATGATGAAGCATCGTTCATAGTATTCTTGCGAGTCCAATCTCTAATATAGCTTGTTCTGACGGGATTCATTTTGTGTAGTAGGCGATATGGGCCGTAAGGATTCCACCAATGTTGAGCTTCATTGCTGAATCGGTTGATCTCGTCAGGTCGAATTGTGTTTGACGGTGAGGCTGTAGTAGATGAGGTATAAGCACGCGATATTGTTCTTGCTAGTGTTATAGAGCGCATCGTCGCTGTAGGGCTTCGTGATTAAGTTCGTTGAAAGATGTTTGGATTGGAGCGATAGAATGCAATGTTGGAATTCGCAACACGTTTAGGCGGCGATCACTGTAGGGAAACGTGTCGTTTCGCGTAATTCTGTCTTGTCCATATCAAGAACTGCTTCGTTCATTGAGCTTTTCGTGAATCCTGGAATTCCTCGTTCCCGTCGACTTTCGAAAATCAAGTCTATGAGGTCCCGAAGGACGAGACGACAGTTAATCTCAATTGTATTCTCTCTTAACAGCTTTAGGCATAAATTATAATCAGAAAGTATGGCTCTGAATGCCCGTAAATCATTACGAGAACGTGTCGACGACTTTGAAGCTCAAATCATACTGTCGGATTCGCAAAAGGACAGTATATTGAGACTACAGGAAGCTTGCTCGGAATTGCCATTTCCTACTCATGTAAGGGCTTGATACATTCATATCGTATCTGGATTTAAGATATACATTGTATTCCAACACAATCAATACTAGTTACAAGGTGATGATGACAATGAACAAGACGACGACCAACAACAACAATCAACTTTATCACTCGTCACGCCATCACGAAGTCGTGCACCGTCATTTATGATGCAAGATGCACTTCCTGCTAGAGCTAAAGCAAACGAAACTACCACAAGAAAGAGCACTCATGAATTGATGACTGGTGTCGACGATCCAATTGAGAATACGCAGCAATTTTTTGGCTGGTTTGCGCGTATTGAAGAAGATATGGAAGTGGGGCAGGAGGACATCTATAGGTATCGTGTTTTGTACTCAACGGAAGGAGCGTTCCAGACCAGCTAATGTTCTTTTCTGCCACGTGAAGGTCGTATCTGGAATCAATATACACGTATAGGAAAACATGCGATAACGTGCTCTCAACGATAGCTTCTACAAGAGACCTATTGAATAGTCTCAAAGAGAATTACGAGTCTGTGGATCAAAAGACGAGGGGCTTGCAACTTGCTTGTGAAAAGTTACTTGCTGAGCAGGTGCGTCTTATTGCACTACCTAAACTGATGTGATAAGTTTATTGACTCAGATATCTTTTTGGACAATTCAAACAGATGCACTTGCTACACGTAGCAGATCAAGTAGCAGTCAAACTCAACTATTTCAATGATCTCGAACCTATATCCAAACTATTTAGCTCGCCCGGCGAAACAGTGTGTTTGGACGACAAGTTTATACCGTTCTTGCATAGACTGGATGAGTGTATTGCTTTTGTGCAATCGAATGTGAGTCCTGCAGCGCGAAAAAACTCTTGAACTACAGATGATAACTCTTTAGTTTTGTTTAGCTCAATTACAAGGACGCTGAACTCTTCCTCATGCGATTCAGACAATGCATGACTCGTGGAATGAGTCTTGTCAAACTCCACATTGTAAACACATTACGCGGATTACAAACTGATGTGAGAGATCGATTAGCCAATAGACCACCGAACGAAGTTTTGCCTGCCAGTCTGCATACGTCGCTATTTTATGTTAAATTCAAGACAGTGGCTCCAAGATTGAAGGCTTTGGTCGCTGAAATTGAGAGTAGGGTGCCGAGTCATAAAGAGTATGTATGGCGAACCATAGTGGGTCTTTTTTTGGTCTGACTCTCTAGACTCATGCACTATCTGGTAGATATCATTCTTTACTACAAGACTGTTATAATGCCTTCTTTCAGGTCAGAGCTTCATTGCTGGGCCCTCAGATTCAACTTCATGTACAGGAGATTTCGAATGATAAGGATTTGCTCTCCTTTGTAAGCATGAGTTCAACCTTGTTATTTTTTTTGTTGCTCACGGTCTCTTAGGCACGAAGCGGATCAGTTTACATGACTGGCGTATGCCGGGATGAATACACTCTATTCTTTGAGTTCTTTAGTTCAGGGCAAGATGAATTGTCGTAAGTGTGTTGGTGAGTCTTCTCAGTCGCAAAACAACGTCAGGCTAAACTTATTTATAGTGGATACCTGGAATCTCTCTCCATGCACTTGTACGATGCTCTACGGCCTCTCATACTACGTGAATCCCGAATTGACATCTTGTCGGACTTGTGTTTGGCTATACAAGCGGCCATGGCATCTCAAACTGCTACTCTAAATCTAGTCAAGCCAGTCAAAAGCCAGCCAGATGAGCTTGAACAAGATGGAGAGCAATCAGAAGAAATCAATGGTGATGAAGAGGACGAGAATGGTTATGAGCGTAGAATGACTAAACAACAAGAACAAGAGGCCGAAGATGATGGATTGGGCTTTGTTACAGCATCCGTCAGACTTGTGTTGGAAGATACGCAATCTCGACTTGCGTTTAGGGCTCAGACGTTTATTAAACAGGATATTCAAGGGTTTAAGCCCCGTGAAGATGAGATATTGTTGTTTGCTCGTGGACGTGGATGTGAGTGAATTTCATATATATTGAAACGGGGTCTCTTTTTTATGGGTGACCTTTCAATTTTTAATAGTACCTCTACCAGCACCAGTATCAACATCAACTGGCTTTGCCCCTGTCATAACAGCCCCCAATTCACCGGAGGCAACAACCTCAACTACCAGCATTACACCTGCAAACACCATGTCGCTCTCCATAACCGAATCCACAGATGGAGATCCTTTCGCGTTGGCACCACCGCCATTAGCACCAAACTCTGCCATCGAACCTGCGAGAAGGCCATCAGCTGATATCTCTGCACCTGGATTTGCGAGATTGGTGTATGGAAGTGGAGAGTGGTATCCTACTATGCAGAGGTGCTTGTATATATTGGGCAAGCTGTATCGATGTGTTCCGGTACGTAATGAGAGCATCCGATTTCTGACCATGTAATATGAGGTGTTTTCTCTGGCGCTTATCGATATATACTGCTTTGAACCTTAGACAACAGTGTTTGAAGATCTGGCTGAGGAAGCAGTGGATGAGTGCCGTGCTTCTCTTGTTGGTGTTAGTTTGATTATTGCTTTAAAGCAGGTATGTATGCCGAGTGGGTTGTGGTGACTTGAGTGGCATATGTACATTTTGAAGGCTTCCGTTTGCTACATACAAACCTACAATAGACAAAAACGGACGGTGAACTGTTCCTTATCAAGAATCTTCTCATGCTGCGAGAACAAATAGCCCCCTTTGAGGTCGCGTTTGTTAGGAAGGAGGAGATCTTGGACTTTGGTGCTCTTCAAGGTATTCCCGCTGATGCTGTCCGCTTTCTTTGTTGTTACTAGGCTGCGTTAACACTGCAGCAAATAACAGCGGCCGTATCTACCGTCTTATCCGATCCACTATCATTCGGCAATCTATCTCAAGCTGTCATGGCTGGTGTATCATTGCCAAGGACTGTTGAGAGTTATCCTGATGCTAAGGAGGTAACAGTCCCCTTCGTTTTCACTCTTTTTTTGTGTCTCGTCGCTTATTGACGACTGTGCAAAAACAACAGGGAGTTGATAAGGAACTTAAACGCGTATGTGAGGATTTCATCTTGGATACTACGAGGTCGTGTGTTGAACCGTTGTCCAGCTTCTTGCTCAAGGTAAAGAGAATCATTTGGTATATTAGAATAAAAGCCCCAGTGTAAGTGACGATATCATGCTCAATCGATCATGCTGCTTTCTTTTAGGTTCAAGTCTTCAGATTGCGAGATGGGTCATCAAGGTCAAGTTCAGTACCTCGTGAATCTCTCGCTGCTCAGAATTTCGCACAGCCAGGTATGTATACAATGAGATGTCATGCTAGAGAAAGACTTGTAATCTATGCGGAGATTGTTTCCGCGTTTTTCGTTCCCTCAAAGCTAGCTTATTATGATATTATTTAGCTCAAGTCTTACAAATCCAAGACGCATTCCGTGAAGTCCTCTCCAAGAGACTAGGATATGCTATATCCCGAATGGCTGATTATCTTGGTGATAAGAGAACTGAAGCTGTGCTTATTCGTGTTATGAGGGTGAGTCTGTTTTGCGAATTCAACCCATGCAGAAAAGACGATGTCAACCGCTTCCATATCTTCTAATCTTAAAGGCAAACATCATCGACACCTATCAAGCATTCTACGATATTGTTCAAACCGAGTATGATTTATCTGTGCAAGGACGAGTGACGACTGTTGATTCTATAGCAAAGATGATTGATGCGGTTTGTAGTGCCGTGAAGGCTCCTACGATGGAGGGAACGTCATCATAATAGAGATGGTTTCGATACATCATGGATATGCTCTTGTCATTTTTTTTCGCTTGCATTTGGGGGCTGGGTTGGAATTTTGAAATGTGTTGGTCAGACATACTCTGCTTATCAAACTATGTTTTGAACCTTTGGCAGGTATGCTTACAAGCTTGCAAGATGATAATGATGCTCGATCTTGGTGAAGCACTGTCATGGATTATGCATATGAACAGTGTGTGTACTTTTATGTCGACAGTATTGTGATGTCTGTTTGATTTGCAATGAGAAACTGTGAGATTGTATAAGAGGACTGGTGAGAGCGCCGGATGTCATACAGAAGAGGAAGTAAGTGTTATTTTCAGTCGAGATTTCCCTTTTTTGCGTGAGGTCTCTCAAGTAGATTCTATCGTAGACATCAATCATGTTACAGTACGATTTTCAATGCCTTTCGTTCATACCGGCCTTCGCCACTTGCACCTCAGATTTAGATTCATGCACATGAGATGCCGAATGATGAGGAGATGGTTAACCTATGTTGGCAAGCCATACGTACTTCCCTGCTACTAGTTTTGCTCACCATCATCCTGTCTTTAGTCCAGACGTGAATCAGTATCTAAGAGTAGTGTCTGTCTATGGCAGCTTTTATGATGGATTATTCTGTTTCGCCTCGATTCCATTTTCATAAGGAAGTGGATCACTCTTCACGGTGTATGTCTAGATGGATACACTCTATTCCTTGAGATTTTCAATTTTGGACGAGATTACTTATTTTTGCGTGTCTTTGAGTCGTCATTGAAAAGGAGCTGGATTAACATTGCTTGCATAGTGGATACCTGCCATCGCACCTATACGATTCGTCTTGACCTCATAGCCTTACATGAATCGCGAATCTACGTCTTGTCTAACTTGTCTTTGGCTATAACAAGCAGTCCTCACCTTCCGAAAATGCCGCCTTCTCGTGACAGTGTGCCCGAGTTGGTCTAAGGGGTTTGACTCGAAATCAAATATGTTTACATGCCCAGTTTCAAATCCTGGCACTGTCGAGACCTTTTTTGAACGGGCACAGCGCCATATATAGATGTGCCTGGGAATGCCAAATCAAACCAGTCAACAGCAAATCAGGTCAACTCGGACCAAGACGGCGCAGTGTGAATGAAAAACGATGCATTGGGGGATTTTTTTATGTGGATAGCAACTTGGGTCTAGAACCAAGACTTCGATTAAACCGGATACTCAAGGGATTTTTAAGTCTTGTGCAGACGATCTCGAAATTCTTAACTCCACAGGCAATATTGTTTTTTGTTGCTGCTTTTCTTTATCAATACCATTCAGCAACAGTACCAGGACCACTGATCAACACCAACTGGCTCCGCACCTGGTTAGCGGCCCTTATTCACATGAAGCAAGACCTCAACGACGAGCAGCAATTCACCGATAAAGACCGTGTCACTTTCCATAGCTGAAACCTGCAAATGGCGATCCACCAACAGCCTACTATGGAGAGGTGCTTGTATGCACGGGTAGGTAGCTATACATTTTGAAATGGTGCATAGTTCTTTCGGCTTTCACAATTTTCTGCTTTCCTCCAATTTAGACGACCGCAGTTCAAGATTTGGCTGGAGAAGCAGTACACGAATGCGTGCTTTGCTCGTTTGATCGTTGTTTCTAAACAGGTATTGTGTGGAATTTGAAGCAGGTACGCAAAGTGTTGGTCTGCTATGACCTGATCGTTATGTAGAGATTCCGGAAGTTGTTTCTCTGTCGTCTTGTTAATACGTTCATAATATAATAGACAATTGAACGCACCTTAGTCAAGAACTTACTCATCTTTCATGCATTGGGAAGGGGAAGAAATTGCTTTTGTTGAGGTAGCGCTTGTTAGCAAGGAGGTGACCTTGCGCTTCTTTGCTCTCTAAGTTATTTACCTATTTCAATTTCCATTTTTAATGGCTTCCATAATTGTATAATTGTGTTCGATTTTGGCTCAACATCCTCTGACACACTTTTCTAAACAGCCGCTGTATCGACCATCCTATCCTATTCAATCCACCATCATTTGGATGCTATGATGGGTGCATGAATACCACAGGATGTTGAGATTTTTCGTTATGCCGCAGAGGTAAGTAGTCCTTTTTTTGTCTCGAAGTGCTTACTACTCCGTTTTGATCGCAAAATTGTTAGTGTACAAGGAGCTAAAATCAACGATACAGCTATGTAATTCTATCTTATTCTTGGATGCGACGATGTGGTGTGCTGAGCCGTTGGCGAGTTTCTTCGCTCAGAGTAAGAATTCAATTTGGTAGATGGACAACCAAAAAAAGTTACTGCATCATCGGTGAATCAGGCTAAAATTGACCAGGTTTTGCATTGCAATGGGGACACGTTTTCAGATTACAAACTAGATCATCAAGGGCAAGTTCAGTATCACGTGAAATTGCTACTGCGCCGAATTTTGCTCGCTAGTATTTGTGAGATCACAAGAAGATGCTTTGTGTTGACTGAAACTGGCATTTGTAACAACAGCGATTCTGATTGTTTCTTCGTCCACATCATATTTATGTACTAGGTAAAAATTCAAGATGCATTCTGTGGAGTCCTCTCAACGATCTTAGCCTGAATGAGCTGAGTATCTGGGTGATAGGAGAACTGGGGACAAGTGTTTGTGTGATGCGAGTGAGTCAGTTTGTAATATTTTGCCATATGATGTAAAACAACTACTGATGGCCAAGTCAAAACAAACTGAGCCTGCACGTGCTGGTGGTGTGTGTGTGTGGTTATTATTATGCAAACATCCTTCTTGCATATCAACCGTTGTATGATGCAATTGAAGCAGAGTTAAGCTGTAACGGTATACGCGGTGTCTGCGATTGTTGCTACCATAGTGCTGCAGTACATTTCTGCTCAATGTCGTGCGAATGGAGTGCAAGTGGCATTGCTGCATTGGAGAAAAGTTAAAAGAGGTGTTTTGATGCATAATTGTCTAATCGCGAAAGCGTAGCTCTTGGATATTCGGTGGGAGGTTTGTTGCTGTTGGTCAGAAGCTATACTGCTGTTGCTCAAAACACCAGACAAGTACGTCAGAGTCAAGTTGAAATCGACTATTAAAAGTGTACATAGTACATAGCTTGTATACATGACCGTCGTTTATGCGGCCTTTAAGACTGTTGCCTTGTCGTTTTGCGTCGATTTCTAACACATCAGAGCATTTATATCAATATGCAAGAAGGGTCTGTCTGGATCGATCGGGAGGGCTGGAGACAATCAAAACAGTCGATCGCTTGTTTTGATGAAGCTTTTCGTTCCCAACTTTTAGTTCCTTCTTCTCAGATATTCGTCATTTGGTACGATTCTGTCAGCAATAAAATCAGCAACATCAAACTTGAGCAGGCTTTGGACGGAGGAGCTGTTTCAAGATCGAGAAGAGGGGGAAAACATATTTTGTAGTGGAAATCGAGTAATTTTTGGGGTGTTTCATGTGCGGTATGTATTCCTATGGGTGATCTCAGTTGCGACGTGTCGTTCGATCTGCTCGGGAACGGAACGATGACCAACCGCAGTCGTGTTTTAAGAGAACAGTTTGATGAATTGATGAAAACGAATACCTTGGTGTGGATAAAAGTTGGCGCATAGTTGAGTCCTTGTATTTCTGATATGGTATGGTTGAATGTAAGTCAGTTTGGTGTGAGATCAGCAAGGGGACGATTTGCTGTGTCGCGAAACGGATGTAAAATAGCCAAAACTGGAGCTTTATTGTGTAAAGTTTGGTGCATTATTGCAGTATATAGATATGGAGATGGGAGTACCCGTTTTGAGTTTGTGGGGAATATGATGATTTCTGGCGTATTCTAGCAGGACTTGACTTGAATGTGACCGCAATTACATCATCTCGCAGTTTTTCTCATTTACCGGTTTTGGTTGACACGGCTAGTCGGCATTAGGTAAATTACCATTGCGGCTTCACTTGTTATGTTAACACGGTGTAAACAATGAGCGACGACGAAACTGGGTACGAAAACGAACGGTTTACAAAGCATATTGCAAGTATGTCTATAGTACACCTAGATATTGTCACTCGCGAAGGAAAACTTTGGTTGGAATGATCAGCCTTTTTATCCTGTGCATTCGACTGGTACTTTCTGAAACATGACAGGGGTAAACTCCACTTGGACAGGGGGCATATGCAATGCAAAGCCGCACAAATAGCAAACATTCGTCATTTGATGGGATGGGGGGATATCAAACTCACATCGGGCGAAACTTGTTACAACATTTTTAAACTTTCACGTTCGCAACAACTTGATCATCACTTGGTATAAATCAATTACAACCACATCTTGCCAGTACCTTACAATACTGTACTTGCTCTACCACATCTGCACTTGGTTGTTGGCATCCCACTCATCGTGAACGCTCTGACCTTTTTCCACACCGGAAACTTCGAAAACAAGCATTGCGGGATAGAAATCTGCTCGAGTAGCCACGTTTAAAGGTAAGTGACCTGCTTGAATACTTCACATGCATCATATTATCCTTGGTATCCACGTGCATTCCTTGTCTTCCTCGACGTCCGGTGCTACGTTGTTGATTACTCCCTCCTGCGCCAGCAACCGTTATGACGTTCAGTCTTCGCAAGTGCCGGACAATATGGAACTAACCCGCTACTACTACTATTAGTATCCAGACACTCATCCCTCCTCCTTGCTGCTCGTCCAAACACACATCAGCCTCGTGGCAAACTGCTTGGCATTAACAATTTGCAGATCATAAGAAATCCGGAAGTACTATAACTGGATAAAAAAGCTTGATCCTTCCTTCAATCTACATCTTCACAAATGCTAGTAGACGCTCCTTACGATCTTGGTATGTCTTGTTGGCTGTAGTTTACTCGTTGTGATGTCGTATGAGCACGAGCCGATGACAAGTTACTCATTCCAACTTTTCTCCAATATCAACCCCAGATCATAAGCGCTACTCATCCTCTCCATCATCAGGATCATCTCCTGCTGCGTCATCAATGGGCGACGATGACCAAGACTATATACCAACCACCACAATCGCAGCTAGCAAACGTACTACACGACGATCTGCTGCCTTATCACGCAACACCTCTGCATCTCCCAGTAAGGGCCGATCAGCCGGTAACGCTGTAAGACCTGTGCAGCTAGACGGTGGCTCTGTTGAATCATGGCATGGTATCATCTCCTCCACAAGAGATGCTCTCTTGATCATCCAGGCTTGTCGCCAAGGCATCTTGCCCATACTCATGAACCGTCCCAAGGATCGTGAACAGGATATGATTCGATCTGGTACTATTATCGTGTTTATGGAACGTCAGTCGGGGTAAGTCTCTTGAGTTTAGCGTTAGTTAGTCCGCTCATAATTAATTTTCTTATTCTCGTGATAGTATGAAGAGATGGAGAGATGGATATCGCTGGACTCCGTCTCGTATTGCTACGCCATTCTTGATCTACAGGTGTGTTTGTAGCAGTAATATACCAATCAGTTGTTTCGAACACTGACGAAGTTCGTTTATTTTACTAGACAATTGGACGATGAACATGAAGATTCAGAACCAGAGTCTGCACGTAAGTTTATGGCTGTGTTGCTTTGTCTATCTCGAACATACTGTCTAACGACATGTCCATAATTTTTTAGCTCCAGCTCGTCGTATCACAGACATGAATCTAAAGAAGGGTGGCTTGATAAAGAAGGCTCTCTCAGTCTCTGTTGATGGCACCAAGATCCACATGATTTCATGTAAGTGTGGTATGATTGCTCGGCACGTCATCTTTAACCAGGCTAACCTACTCCTATCACAACCAGACTTCACCAAGGAAGATGAATCAGAAGGAGCATTGCCATCACCCTCCAACGTCTCTACGTTTACAAACATCAATATACCCATCGAATTGTGGTCAGAAGTACAACCAGAGACGACTGCCACCACAACCGAACCATCTCCACGTCGTAAACCAGTACAATCATCCCCTTCAGATCAGCCATCACCATCGCCATCACACACTAGTGAAGAAGGATCCGAGCCACTTAGACGGGTCAAGGCTGAAGGATATTCTAGTATCTCACCATCACCTGAAGCTGAGAATGCATCAGACGCGGTTGATGCCTTCTGGGTCTTGTCTCAAGTAGCCAATGGAACTCTCAACCCCAGCAACACTACTCTGACGGGGCTGGGGTTGAGTGGTAGCAATCTACATCGTAGTAATAGTAATGCGACTCTGGGTAGTAGCAGTAGTGGAAGTACTTCTAACACTGCTTTGGGACAATCACCATTTGCCCTATACGGTATGGCCAATGTCTTGTCTCAACTCGGTGTACCACCAGTTATACCAATGGCTCCACAAATGGTACCAACAGCCGCAGGATATCCTTCTGGTCTTATGACTGGGTCACTACCAACATTATCGTCATTCTCCCAATATATGCAGCAACGACCAGTAGCACAACAATCATATCCTGTAATGGATGCCAATGCGACCATGAGTGCTCTAACACAAGGTGGTAATAGTCAACTAAATAACAGTAGCAATGCCGAGATAGCAGCTCGACAACCTCGGCCACGAACGACTTCATACAACTCTGTGCCATCATACCATCCATACCGTCTATCACCGGAACGAACTCACTCTGAACTGGTTAATATCGCCAACCTCAACGGTAGTGTTAGTAGCAATAGTAATCGTCAGCCATCACCGCCCGTGTCTCAAAAGCAGCTATTTAAACAAGCTCCAGCCACTGTAACTCGACCAAGAGGTGTATCTGATCCAATAAGATATCAACATAATGAACAGCAACAACAAACATCTGCACCACAACCGCAAGAAGCCGCACCAGCCACAGTCGCTTGGAATCCAGACTATTGGATTAGTCCAGGAGAAATGCTAAATATGCTGAGTGCAAATCGTCAGCTGCCAGCACAACCCACTGAGCCGATACCGCCTGTAGTACAACAGCAACAATCTATACCAACAACATATGATGGCATATCCGCTCAGCCCTACTTGGCTGCTGTAATGGAAGCTATGATGAATCCAGCTCAACAACAAGCTCAACAGCAAGCTCAACAACAACAGCAGGAGCTTCTACAACAGCAACGATATGGTAATGGATTTGCCTTCACATCACCATCTGGTAACGATATGATGATGGTTGATGAACATACCATGCAACAACATCAACAATACCACCAACAGGCACTTCAGCAACCTCAGTGGGATAGTGACCGTGCGTTACTGGAGGCATTTGGGTTGAACTATAAGAATCAACAGCAGTAGATGCAAGTGGTGGTGGAGTTGGGTTGTATGATTAAGTGGATGATGAGTGGTGGTTGTAATATCTTTTGTCTGTCTGTCTGTCTGCCTGCCTATATTGTCTTTCTATCAGTATCATATAACAATCACAACAACAGTGCCTGAAGGATTTTAAACAGTTAACATATTCTTTTATAACAAGAAAAACAATACAAAATATTATCTATCCAGCATATCTTGAATTGTGTCGTCTTGTCCGTGTCTGGTTGTGATTGACTATTCCCTGAATGTGTTGGTCTTCGGAACTTTTTTCTTGGTGCAATTAGCAAGACACACCCAACAGGCATAAACGCAGAACAGGGACACCTCTAACAAAATCATGGATGATTCCGAGGCCGCTCAAACTATCGAATCACCCACCGATCGCATAGAAGAAACGCCTGCAGATTCTCCAGCAAATGAGGAAGTTGAACAAGCCGTGCATGAAGTAGCAGACAGTGAACCCGTTCAACAGACTGATAGTGCTGTGGAAGCCGCATCTGATATTGTGGATGGTGCTGTTAGTGGAGAGGATACGCAGGATTTGGTTGCTAGTGATGATGCAGTGAATGAGGGTGATCAGCAAAAGCAGCTGCAGCCATCAAATCAAACAGAAGAAGAGAGAGGAGAGGAGATACCGGCTGTAATAATCGAATCTGAGTCAGGGCTTCCTGTTATGGACTCCCATGGGGTGGTGGAGCTCCCACCAGCAGAACTAAAACCCATGGAGACTCAGACTGATATTGCTGAATCTCCTAAAGGTATGGGTGAGAAAAGAGCTATTCGCGATTTAATTATAATTTTTCTGTATTGATACTGAAAGTATTTTCTATTACCAGAACACACCAAACCAGTCCCAAACATTACAGGCTGGTACCGCAAGCAATACCATGGTGGGTTTCGAGACACGAGGACAAGAGTCGAGTACTATCATGCTGATGCGCAGACTGTTACGCCGCAAGAGTTGAGGAATCAGGTACGGTTAAACCGTGGTTTGAGTAATATGGTGTTGGTAGTATTGAAATCTTTTTGCTTTGGTTTTTAGAATGCACCGGTAAAAGCCCATCGAGATACGCAGACCAAGTTTATCAAGACTCGGGAGACGCAGGTTATGGTTGAGTGTGCTACGCAGATGGTATGTGTGTTGCTTGTGATGGACTTTGAGAGCAATGGTACCGTGTGGCTGAAGATCTTTTTTTCGTTAGACACATAGAGGTGTATACGTGACTGTTGAGTCAGATAAGATTGTGGAGGCACGGCCTTATGTTACTGCAGATGAGCATCGGGATATGATTGTGCAATGTGTAAGTGGTTGTGCCACAGTGAAGCCCATGACTTTTCGGACTTCAATGATTTTTTGGTGTTTGCGACATAGGTTACGAAAATCCAGTGCTTTATCCGAAAATGCAATGCTGTACGCACGGTGAATCGGATGAAGGAGTTGAGGGAGGAAGAGGCTCAGGCTAAGATTGCTGTACGTTTGCTAATGTGATGCAAGGCCAAACAAAGGAGAACCTTACTGAAGACTTATTTCTTTTGGAATCCAGAAAGAAGAACGGAGACGTAAATTGGAAGAACGTAAAAAGCAGCAGGACGTTGAGTCGAGACTACATCCAAGGACACATAAGGATTTCGAGAAGTTGTTGAGTGGTCTTGAGAGTGGGTTCAATGATTATTTGTCATGAAATCGTCTTTTTGCTCACTGATTCTTCACGTTTAGAGTGGAGACTACAAGAAGCAGAACGAATCGCAAATGCAGGATACTCTGACAAGGAGCGCATCAAAGCTCTTGCAGACTTGCTAGACCAGGAAGCGTCATTGCTACAAAAGATTGATAGGCTGAAATTTGTTGCTGCTGAGGGAAATTATGATAGGAATGTTGCAAAGAAGCTTGACGCTGTACGTTCCGTTTCATGGTTCGTCACCCAAACGAACCCTAAAATTTTCCTTTACATAGATGGCAGCACCCAAAGTATGGTCTACCCGCGCAACACACGCGCGCCAAGTCCTCGTCGAAACACCAACAACTGTACGAGCTTCTGAACTTCGTGATTTGCATCGTGCGTTATGCACGTCTGCTGCTACAACAAGTGTCGATGAACGATTACAAGTTTTGCTGCATGTGAAATACACAGTCAAAGAGTTTGATTGTGCGCTGACGAGAGATATCGTGGATTTGATTGATCGGGAGGGAGATATGGTTAGTAGAGGGAGGGATGCGGAGAGTTTGGAAGGTATGATGAGATTCGGTGAAGAGTCATTTTGCGGTGCACGCTAATTTTTTTTTCCCTTTTCCATGCAGGGTTGAGGAAACGGACGTCGAACATGTTTTTACAGTTTATTCAGACGCCAGAGTTTAATCCTGAAGCTGCGAGATTCCAAAAGGTAAAGAGACCTTTTCCTCTGATGTTTTGCGTTCCTTGTGAACGAAGCAAGCCCCAAAAAAGCCGCACAATCACTCACAAGCAATGTGCTAATTTTTGAACATGTTAACTTCTGATTAGATTGATGGCAACACCAAATCAACATCCGCCGACAAATCCTCCTCAGCTACCCAAGCCTCAATCTACCAATGTCGCTCCTGCTCACGTTACCTCCCATCCTCTGATTTCAGACTCTCAGCTACCCTCCGCTCCCTCAACCAATGCCGAACATGTGCAAACGCAGCCGACATTGCAACGCGCAAAGCAGCAGATCCAGCATACGCACAACTCCTCGCCGTCCTCCGTACTCGTGAACGAGCTTCGAATCCTGACGCTTCAAAGGGCGTAATGGACCTCCTCCAAGAAGTGGATTTACGATACCTCATTGATACCATCTGGACTGGCAAATCAGCTGTTTCTGGAGTTGCAAATGTTGCTCAATTGATGCTTGTAAGATGGGACAAGAGCCAAGTGTTGAGTCCCTGGAATTGTATATTGCTGACAAAGAGTGAAGCTGCTGGACATGAGGGGCTTGATGCTGCTCCCGAAGAGGTTTATGCTGAGGCGTTTGTGGAGAGGGTTAGACAGAGGCATGTTGTTGGGAGGAGGCACTTTGGGCAGGTTGTTGAGATGATGAATCTTATATAAATGATCGAAGTGACCTTTTTTTCTGCCCGATACCTGTGTGAATCAAGGTTTCCGGAATAGATTACGCTGCAACAGTACTTTTTTCCAAACCCATTGCTCTCTTGTTTTGGTGTTCAAGTTCTAAGCTACCAATGATGGAGGAGTAACTGGTATGTTGGTAGACTGGATCAGGCTCAAATTGTAGATTTAGATGCCCTCATGCTTTCTCCAGCAGAGTGAAACTGCAATTGGGACTCAACCTCTATGGTTGGAGATACTCTAGTTAAGAGTATGTGAAGCATTAAAAAGCCAAACAACGCCAAATGAATTTTTTTGAATTACCGAACATTCATTTCCTTTCTAACACCAGGACATTCAGAGCACACGCAAAGCAATACCATGTTGGATTCCCAGACACGAGCTGAATACGATCAACGATCATGCCCACAGTTCACACTTTGCTCGACGTGAAGGGAAGTTTGTTCTAATGCTTTCTCGGAACGTGTACGGCTGTGAAATGAATGGTAGCAGGAGATTTTTTGGGCTGATTGTCAAGACGATAATTGTTACTGGGTGGTTGCCTTTTTGTATCTCCTTGACATCTGCTGTAAAGCTCCGAGACACAAATACACCAGATTAAGCGTACGAATCTTTTCGATTTGATCTATAAATATTGAGTGTATTGAAAGCCAGCAAAACAAAACTTTGCTATGGTATCTCTCAAACCAAAATTCCAACAATACCGATAAACAAGAAACTGATGATTATATATGATGAGGCACGTCCAACATGAGCTCTAATAACACCCGCCGACGACTTTACATTAGTAGACCCACCGGCACTGGACGGCGGCACCACATTACTCGGCACCGCGACCTTTACAACCACAACACTCAATTTATCCACAGTCACGGTATACGTCCCATCAGCATTCGCCACCACACTCTGCACAACCTTGTTCCCATATATATACCCATGATCACTCCCATCAAACGTCTGGTTTGCCAGTGTGACTCCGTCTGTGGATGCTGCGCTGGGTCCTCGTAGGCGTGTTATCGTTGCTGGAGGTGGTGGTGCTGTTGTATTGGACGATATGCCGAGTGATAGTGTGACTGATATGGTGGCTGGGGCGTTCATGTCCTTGTTTATGATGATGGTCGTGACGCTCGTGTTTGTCGAGTCGTAGATTGCGAATGCCCGCATGTTTAGCGGCGTGGACTGTGTGAATGATATTGGGCGGAAGACGGTGGAGGTTACGCTTGAGAGGAGGTCTGATACTAGGACCTGTGTGTGGTGAGAGTTTTGATTAGTTTCAAATTGTGTAGTCAAGGCGTTACCTCTCTTCTGCTGTCCATAAGACGCAATACATACCATAGCATAAAACAATGGCCGAACTTGAAGCTGCATAATCGTCGTATCATATATGAATGGCCCATTAGGTGCAACATTCGTAGCTATAGCGTTACTTGCACCACGTGGATCTGCAATCAGCACTTTGGAAATTCCACGCAATGCAAACTATTGAAAATGCGTGTCAAACTATGGAAGCAAAAAATCGAAAATCTCTGATTCATCAACGCTTACATCAAGCAACATGTCAACTCCCCATAGAGCAGTCGCATAGGTATCAGATACTCCAGAGAGTCCACTACACGAGGCCACACCACATTCACCGCAATATGCTGGTATCCCTGCTTTCTTTGCAGCTGCGACGACTGGATTGAATAGATCCAGTCCGTTTTCTCCCGGGTCATTGAGTACGCCTTGTATAGTAGCCGCCTGCCTTCCAGCTGGGTCTGAAGCACAGTTCGTTAATGGATACCTAGATAAACGAGTGTGTGAAAATCATTGCTTGCCATGTTTAAGTCCTATCTACAATGCAAAAAAAAAGCGGACGTCCAATCACAGCATACCTATGGAAGGCTAAAGAACCAACCAATCCTGTCGGTTCAGAATTCACAAACTGCGGTAGATATCCAATCCATTGTGGCAGGTAAACTTGCATGCCACCAAATCCTCCTGCGAAGGTATTGCTATCCGTGTATGTAGACATGAGGGATGATATAGCTGAAGAGTAATTCTTGTATTCTGAGAGATAGTCTGGATTGAATTGCCAGCCTGCCGGCCGGTAGTAGATGATTACCCAGTTATCTGGCTTTTGAATATGTGGTGTTGTTAGATGTTAACCACAGTACGTCGTCTCTTTGAGCACGCTGGTTTTTTTCTAGGTTGTTTTTACCTCATTACCCAATTGCACAGACCACAGATTCCGTGGATCAATATAAGTCATGATTCCATCCTTTACAAATTCTAGCATGCGATCTGGAGTTTTGTCCAACCTGTGTCGTTTGGAATAAAAAAAGGCTGCTTAAATACTAGAGTATAGAGATCAAGACTGAAATCACATCCACAACAACATACATTGACACATCCAGAATAAGTCCATATCCAGTCTCTGTCGCAAACTGATTCAACAGCTGAAGATCACCAGGATATATCGTGACTCCCAGTGGTGCTCCAAATGGCTGTGGTTGTGCGAATGCAGATTGTCCCCATCCCAGTTTGGTAGCTGAATTGCCTCCGATACGTAACAGAGGCCGAGATTCGCCTGATAGCTGTTTAGCTCTCGGTTGTAAGACTTTATACAAGTTTGCGATTGTTGGGTTTATGTCTGTGAGGCTTGTTGTTGTGTTTACGTTGCCTGATGATGGTTCATAGTAATAGTAGACGATAATGAATGGCGTTAGAAATACTTCACCAAGAGAGATCACTGGTAGCCCGAGTCAACATGTCAAAAAGGTACACCAATCCGGCCGTTTTTACATCTTTTAAGCCTTCCAACGACAAAGCTGTCAAAGATCAAGGGCTTTTATGCACGCCCAAAGCTCACCTAAGCTCTTATTCACCAACTGCCACTCCAAAGAAAAGCCAACAAATCCCTGTGGAGCTAATGTGTTTGTTTTTGGCAGCGATCCATTGGTATTTAACACGGATATCTGGTAGGTCGTATCCTTGACTGAAGCCAGCGATATGTAATTTACAGCATGAGCTGCTTGTGATGCTATTGCAGCGAGTATGATCCATGATTTGATCATGATGTGTGCTTTTTTTTCAACCACTGAGGGCGGTAGACCCAGCGGTCAAAACAGGAATTGTGCGGGGTTTTCGTGCTTTAAATGCATATAAGATCACGTTCCAGCTTCACTTTGCTCTTCGTATGCTCGATCTGTGGAGTACTTAATGCCCAAAATACAAAGTTTGACGTTAATTTTGCTCAAGCCGAGACCACCGCAACATGCAATCGCTGTACCAGTCGAGATGCCACTGTGATGATGTTTTGGCTAATACAGAGATCCCGTACGATGTAAGATACGCGACACCGGAGAAAAGCCTGGTTGTCCTAGTTTCGGACGTTGGGAAGAAATCACGACGGAGCTTGTCCATGCACGCTGACATACACGCAAGAAAGAATGTAGATATTTGTGAGTTATGATGAACTGTTCCTGTCAGCCCCATGATGCAAACCTTCAAATCACCTAATACTTTGAATTGGCACGTCCAAACACTTGGAAACCAACAATGATAGTTCGCGCAAAGCTTGCTCAAAATGCCGATTAACGATAACAGTTATTTAAAAGATAGTTCCAGTATGATTACAAATTTAATTAAAGGCAAGCCTACAGCTGCTGTGCTCTAAACACAATCCGATACAGCGGCTTTTCAAGCCCCACGCCCGACATATTCGTCAACATCATATCATGCTGTGGATCACCATCAGTGATATCATACGACCTGATGAGATTAGCTAGACAAACCGCCATCTCAGCTTGTGCGAGATTGCGGCCGATGCAAGCTCTAGAGCCAACCCCAAATGGAATGACTAATAAAGCAGTCAACAGTTAGATTCATGGCGGGTAAATCAAGAGGTTTAGTCCCACGTACATCCAAAATTATACTGTCCCCGTTCTCCGTCTCCCATAAACCGTTCCGGCATATACGTATCAGGATCCGCCCAAAGATCTGGATTCCGACCAATACAGTACGGCGATATCCTGAATGCTGTTCCTTTTGGGAAGTAGTAAGGTCCAATGTGGACGTCCTCGACTGCTTCTCGAGCTAGTGTTACGAGGCCCACCATTCTCATAGTCTCGTTAAGACAGGATGTTAGGTATGGTAGTGATTTGGCTGTTTCGGTTGTTATGAGGCCAGAAAGTTTGTGCACTGGTGCGGTGGAGATTTCGGCTTGTAGTTTGGCGAGGCAGGGTCGGTTTCGCACGAGGTATAGGAGTGTGAATGCTAATACTAATGGGAGTGGTGTTAAATTGACAGCCTAACGAAAAAAAGTGATTTGACATCGAGTTGTGAGACATACCTCTTGAAGACGTATCGACACCACCAACAAGGAACACAATGATGTTTGCCTTGATTTCGTTCTGATTCAGTTCACGGGCATCCATATCCGCATCAGGATCGTTATGGCCGTCAATCAGCACCTGTAATATATCGTCTCGTCGCACTTTGCCATTCATACGATCTGCCACGACCGATTCCATCATCTAACGTGGAAACGTGAGAGACCAAAAGTAGAATCAAGTAAAGCGTCCATACTTGCCTCAACAAGTCTCTTCGAACTAACATCCATACGCCTCTTGATATGATTAAACGGTCCTAGCCACGCAAAGAAAGGAAACACGACTTGCAAGATAAAGTCCTGGAGCAAAGACGATGTGATATCGGCGATTTCGACATTGCCTGTTTCTAGTGCTCCGAACGCACCGCCGAAACCAACTTCTCCGATAACGTCTGCTGCAAACTGTTTTGTCAGTTTGAAAATGTCGATGGGTGCGATTCCGTGGTGGGTTCTCAGGGTGGTGTCGATTGTGCGTTTCAGTAGTGTGACGGTGGATTCGAGGAGTGGTTCGATGCGTTTCAGGTGTTGGATGCTGAATGCTGGAGCCTAGTTTGAACGTGTGAGAGGCGCTTTGACACGTCATATTCGACAGCAAGACGAATGTTTATACCATAGAGCGTCTCATACTTCTATGAGCGTCCGGATCCGTATACGAAAACAGATTATCACCATATGATCCAAATTGGGCGGCTTTTGCAATCCAGTTCTAAGGAAAATAGGTAATCGCTACTTTCTGATGCGTCTACTTTATTTATAGAATACACACACCTTACGAATAGCAGTTGAATGGCCGAGTTCTCGAGCCACGGTTGCATCAGCGACCTCAACAGAAGCTGGTCCAACTCTAAACACTGGTCCGTATTTTGCAAACATTTTAGAGTGGTTCTCTGGGCGAGTCCAGATGCTTGCGAAAGCCACGAATCGGAGCGTGGCAGGGTATAGGAGGAGGATCCATGTTGGGCCTAGATACCTGCGTTAGCAAAGGTTGGAATGGGGCTGAATATGCAATTTACCTGGTAGGACACGCAGTGGTGAGGCAACGAATGTGGTGTACAAGTGTTTGCAGTATGTGAGTCCCATATATGCCAGTAGTAAATTACGTGTTGCGGCCCATGGCTTGTATTGGAACGTGAAGTAGACGAGGCGTGAGATCTCACTGCCGTATGCAATGGCTTCCTTCACGAATGACATCGCTCTAAATGGAATTGATTGAAAAGGGAACTATTAGTTAGACAGTTTGTAATTGTTTGGCATGCTTATATAAATAAATCATGTCGCTCTTCATCAGATCTTGAAGATGCCCTTCCCAACACACATTCAACAACCACCAGCTGAAACTTGTACATAAAGTAATACGGTCAAGGGGGATCTTACCTGTATACAGCCCAGGAAATCGTATACTATGCCTTACTATGTGCCAATCTTTCCAGCTAGCAGCGTTCAGTTGATTGTCGCATGTAAAGAACGGGGTAATGAGGCATACTCTAAAGCAAAGTATCCGCAGGCGATTCAGGAGTATACAAAGGTACGTGTCAAGCTGGTTATGATCTTCTTCTCCATTGTTACTTGCTCAACACATTTGGACATGAACTCGACCACCATCACGTACTGACAATCTTCTATCCTGTAATCAGGGATTATCGTACTTTACCACTACAGCTTCACCTTCTCTATCAGCATCCTCCGAAGATGTCAAGGATTCCAGTGATCCAGTTCACCTACTGACGTCGCTGCTCAGCAATCGCAGCGCTTCGTATCTTGAATCTGGCAAGATGGAAGAAGCTTTTGCCGATGCCGACGAGGTGGTCAGGCTACGGCCTCACTGGGTGAAGGGCTACTTTCGGAAGGGCGAGGCCTTAGCTGCTCTGAAACGGTATCCTGAAGCGCTGGATGTATACCAGGAGGCTCGGAAACGGGACAAGAGCAGTAAACCTATTGTGCAGAGGCTCGTTAAGATGAACATGCTGATTGATAATATGAATCGGGGGTTGGTTATACATCAACTGCTTTCAGGTACTCAGACTAATTTAATGCTGGTTATTTGTCCTCGTGCACTCACGCTTCATTCAATTAGGTCGCGAAATATGTCAAAAGAGTGTATTCTCACCTATAAACAGCCTCATATACGATTTCGCTCATCAGCTACGAAACTTTATATACGTTGTCGCTGATATCAAGTCGAAGGACTGCGTTCTCGTGGACCCTTGTTGGGACATAGATGGTAAAGTTGCTTCGGTTCCGAATATGTATATATATGCTTGACTCTTTTTTTGTGCAGGTATACTGAAATTTGTCAAGAACGAAGGTCTGAACGTCGTAGCTGCTATAGCGACTCATCAGCACGTTGATCATGTTGGCGGCCTACCACCTTCTCCATACGACAAATACGGTGTCACGGTAGAAGGATTGAAGCTACTCTTGAAAAGGCTGCCTAAAATCGTGGCATATGTGAATGCCAACGATATACCTGCGATATGTAAAATCAATCCAGATATACCTGTGGACCGGTTGAAACCTACTGAACATTTGCAAGTCATATCGCTACCTTTGGGAGCGGCTAATGCTACCACGACGTTACAGTTTTACCATACTCCAGGTAAATTATACGCTTCTTCTGTGCTGTTTTTTTGCAGCAGATTCACAAATCCGTTTGCAACGATAGGACACACACCAGGCTCCCAATGTGTGCTAGTAGATGGATGTAGATTACTATCAGGAGACACACTCTTCATTGGGAGCTGTGGTCGAGTCGATTTCCCTGAATCAAACCCTGCTGATATGTACACGTCGCTGAATCAAATCTTGGGAAGCTTGCCTGATGATGTTATTGTTCTGCCGGGACATGATTATGGTATGAATTAGGGGGCATTAGTTTAAGAATGTAGTGATGCTCCACACCTCGTCATGGTTGAAGGTGTTGGATTAACTCACTATATGGCTTTTTTTGTCAGGTGGAGAGTTCACGACCATTTTACAAGAAAAGAAACATGGTCTGTTGCGGCCATGCTCCAAGGAAGATTTCTTGACGGCTATGAACAAGTAGAGGACTTTGTAAACACGCGTATGGACTGCATTCTAAACATTATTATTTGCACACTGACAAAGAGTTCACCGCTCGTTGCTGATCGCCATGGAACATTAAAATAACGCGTTGAGATTCACAGTTCAAGCGTGCATCGTATATCAGCAAAGTCCGTCAGTCCGTCAGTCACCCAAAACTTCAAAAACATTCATCACGATCAAGGATTAGTACGGTCGCTCATGAAAAGACAAGCGACACCACCCAGCTGCCTTATATGACATCCAACAATCCACAAAATGGCTCCGCAGCTCCAACCAACTCCCCTCCATCGCCAGAAACCCTCCTCCAATTTTTCACACCTCCCAAACGCGACCTATTTGAGACTTTTATAACCATTCCACTAGTAACTGCGACTTTACTAGTATGCGTATGGTCAGTTTCGCTGCTGCTAAATGGCCGATTTCCAGCTAATGTGGCAACGATGATCATCATGTTTATCTCATTAAGCGTGCTTGATCTGGTGCTTAAGAAGGGGAGAGTTGATAAGGTAGAGATGTGAATCGGTGTATTTGAGAGATTAGAAATAGCTGGAGTTGTTTCTTTGATTGCACTAGCTGTATTCCTGATGTTTTTCGTGTTTTTTAGGTGCTTGATATCATGAATCCAGGCATCGCATTCCTACAGCGGTACATGCCTCTCATGTTTTGCCCTGCTCTTGTCCTCCTACCAGCAAAACAACTGCTTCCATTAGCAGAGATTGGACGGATCGCTCTCCTGTTTGGTACAATTCAACCGGTGAAGCCTCAACACATTCTAACGCTTTTCTACTTTACTAGTAATCGGATACGCTTTCTGGCTCCCCATAATAGCATGGATGGCCAGAATGTTTAGCTTACTGCTATCGTCATTCTCTGCACGGAAACGGAAACGCCAAGCACTAGCTCCAACGCATTCAGATCCAAGTGCGTCGTTTCAGACACGGAGGCCCTCGGCTACTAGTACCCGTGAACGAGCATCGAAACTTGCTTCAGCTTCAGAGCCTGCAATAGAACAAGACGAGGAAGTAGAGCTCTGGACATTAAGTAGCCATGTCACCGAGGAGGATGAAGAAGATACCAAGACTATAGATGTGAGATTGTTGCCTCCATGGAGAGAACGCCCGTGCTTACCACATCCTTTTATGGTGTTGGGGTACTCGATATTGTTTGTGCCTGCTGTCTTCTTGTCTGCTTTTACCAGTGTTAGGCAGCCGGCCGAGTGTATACTGACTGTATTGGGGTACTTCTTTGGTATCTGGGTGCCACCTAAGGTAGGAGAAGTATTGTGTTGTTGAAGGTGTCATCCTTGATATCTGACTTGGTTTTTCCCCTCCTCTTTTGAATGGGTAGATGAAGGTCGTCATTCACCCTATTATCACATGCTCTGCTGTTACGATTCTTGGATTGTGGGTAATTCAAATGCTATTACACGCCTCGAGAAGCATTCTGACCCACCAATATTTTGCGCTTTAGATATGCAATGGCTACATATCGAGGACAGTCTCTAACTGATGGTAACAATCCGCATTCGAAGCTAGAGTCAAACTCTTATAATGATCTCGAAACATACTTTTTTCGGTTGGATAATCGTAGAACTCGCAATGTATTCTACCGGCCTGAATTCACAAGCTCTCTTAACCGACGTGTCAAAGCATATAAATCCAACGACACCAGGAGGTGGTGATTTACTGTTTAGTCTTGTTGACGCTGCTGTTGTAGCACTTGCTTTCCGTATGTTTCAGTATCGGGAGCTGGTGTTGAAACATGTATGTATATCCCCATTTCCCAGTTTTTCCTTTTTTTATTCTTTGAAAACGAAATTCTAATGATCCTTAACATTTGTACTTACACCTTTTAGGGACTGGTAGTAGTATTAACATCTTCAGTCGCAATCATATGTGTCATGTTTTTCCACACATTTCTCGGCCACCTCCTCGGCATGATGCCTGAAAACGCACTGGCGATATCTGCTAGATGGGTTACAACGCCATTAGCAATCCAATGCTTTAATATCTTGGGAGCTGATGTGTCGTTGGGGGTTACTCTTGTATTGGCTAGTGGGATTGTAGGAGACATTATTGGAATGCATTTGCTGAGGCTTGTGCGGATACCGAAAGACGATATAATTAGTATTGGGTGTGCGGTGGGGTGTACTTCTCATGCTGTAAGTGATGTTGCAGATCCATTAGGGAGATAATTCGCTTTTTTTGGCGGTTCCTTAATTGTACATTTGGCATATTGTTTAGATCGGAACGGCTGGTTTGTTATCGACGAATCCGCCAGCGGCTGCTATATCGTCATTGTCATTTGTATGTGAAGGTTGTTTCATATTCAAAACATTTCCTCGACTCAAATTAACCTTTTTTCTTGTCATAATAGGTAATGCTTTCAACAATGGCGGTCATCGCGGTTTCTATACCACCGATAGCCAACGCTATGAAAGTCGTAGCCGGTCAATGATTTATGTTTATCCTCTTAATACAAGCCTCCGACTCAGTCCCATCCAATTGCAACGTTTCAGACCCTACTCCATCTTGCCACTTTTGTCATGAGTCTAGTGATCTGAGTCTTGCTCCTCTCGCATGGAAATCTCCCCACTCCATGTCAATTGACCTGATTGACTTTGGCTTTGACGTTGCATTATTTCATGGATGTGTTTGTGGAGGTACGCCAGTGAGTAGTATACGGTTCTTGGGGTAGGGAATCGATATAGATAGATTATTATATTGGTTGGTAATGAGGCCAACAAAGCTTAAGTGGCAAAACGACAAAGACTGAGAAATGTGAGAAAAGCATTGTCTGAGACCAGTTCGCTTTACTAAACCAGTATAGTAGATTTAATTAAACGAGAATATTACTGCTCCGTCCATGACTGCTTAGCTTTGTGTGTCTTCTTCTTTGCTGATTATGTTTTGTTGGGTGTTTTGAACGTTTGAGCGTTGATACGAACAGTCCACAACTCGATTCTGGTATCGAGACACGCTTAAAACACGCCTTGAGTACAATCAAACACCAACGAGAGTCGAGCAATTGCCGATCGATACGCATTTGAAAGATGTTTTGCTCGTTTTTCATTGCTTTTGAGCAAACCAAGACACTTTTATATCTATAAGCAAATTTCAAAACAAACGTATACCAAAATCATCACCACCCCCACAGTACAATAGTTTCGCTCTTCTTTCGTAACCTCACAATCTCAACACAAGTTTCCAACCCAACGTCGTCCATCTTGGACTCAATCATAGCTTTGACCAAGTGAAAAGATTTTGACTTTTGAGTTGAGTGTTTGACAATTATATTCAACTTTCGAGACTTGGAGTCCTCTGCAAAAAACTTTGCCACCTCCTGCAAAGCATCCAAGACGTGCCGTTCAAGCATCTTTCGTACCTGTGTGAGAGTGATCTCAATAGTCAAGACTTCCAGATGGAAGATCGTGTTCAAATTTGCAATCCTATTCAACTCTTCAGCAAGTGTAACAGAATCTCCAATATAGTGATATCCGACTGCCAGAGAAGCGAGTTGAGGCAAGTGTGTATCGATTTCCTGCAAGGTTGCTAGAGACGGTTTATATACGATACCAAGATGCTTCAAAGCAGGCCATTGACGATCTGATACATGTACACCATTCAAACTCAGCCCACCTCCACCTCCAAATCCTTCTACATTCAAACTTTTGAGTGACGACCAATTTGTAAATGGAAACTTGTTCGATTCAAATCGCATGCCGATGCATGAGAACGACTCGAGATGTGTGAGTCGAGCCAAAGATTCCATTTCATTTGTCACCATAATACCTCGACCAACACCAATCATAGCTTTTATATGTAGAGACTTGAGATTTTCAAATTGAGATATTCGGGTGCACAAGTCTCGTAGACCTTCTTCCGCTGTACCATGCGTTTCCGAGTCATACATATATCGTACTTTCAAGTGTTGGATATCATGAGGCAAGATACGAGTTGGAATTGTTTCTTGCCAGAGTTGGTTTCGTCCGCAGAATATTTCGATGGTAGAGTCTTTCATAGATGGAATGGTGTCTAGGAAGGATTTGAAGCGTGGGTGTTCGAGTATGGGAGTGTTTAAGTAAGTATCGAATCGAGCGAGTGCTTTGATATTGGTTTGGACCACATCGATATTGAGATTCAAGCGACGTCTCAGGGCTGCAACGTGCATTGGGATGGAAGTATAGACGTCGCCATCGTCCAGCATGTGAGGTGGAGTTACAGTAATCACCACCTGCATGCAGTGTCGAGCTTTAACAAACTGACCAAACAACCAAATGTATGTAATGAAACAACATACCAAAATACCACACACAACATTGCCAATACTACGTTCCCAGTTATCCAAGATACGAATGATAGGACGTTGGTGGAAGTGCGGACCCCAAGCCAAATGTACATTGAGTAACACTTTCGGTTTTGAATCCTTGTAGAGAAGTGAATACAGGCGTCGATTCACGTATCCCAGATTCTTGTAGACTTCCTTTGGACTCAAGAATTGCATCAAGTCGTCCAGAATGATGTCAGCTGGCAGAGTTGCGAGCGATGCTAATGTTTCGGGAAGTGACATAGCTGTAAGGAATCACTGTATTAAAGCTCGTCTGCGTGTGAAGTATGAAATACACGGGCTTACCTAAATTCTCTTTCTCAATATCAGCGTGTTCCATTGTTGTTTATGTTTTGTCAAAATGTCGAATGCAGTCGATGAGGGGAACGACTGCAGCAAACGCGTGAAACATGGCGTGTTGCAGCTTTCTAGCGGGAGGCAGAGCGAGCAAACAGAGTTGTAAGTAAGTCCAAACTAGTCCAAGGGAGAAACGGTCGGATCAATATGTTATCGTGGGATTGCTCGTATCGAACGTGACAAAAGACGTGTCAACCATAAAAGGGTGAGAATCTGAGTCAAAATATTGAGCCGATACAAGGAGAATATGAGGCCGTTGCGAAATGTGGCCTTCCTCCCATATCTTCTTCTCCCTAGGAACTATTCCGTAACTGGTAAATCCAGTTCACCAAAACTCCGATCGAAGGTAGTTCAGAGATGGGCTCATCAGACGGATCATGATACATTGCCAAGTATGGATCTGATAGTGCTTGTGCGTCTGTGATGCGTTGTTTTGGGTCAAAGAAGAGCATTTTTCCGAGAATGTCGAGACCAATTGATGGTGAAGAAGATAGAGTAAGAGATTTATGCGCAACAAAAACGAAGAAATTATGGTGAATCATATCATCAGGATCGACAGTTGGGAATCGTTCAGTGAATGGTATCTTTGGTCGTTTGGGTAATATTGTACGAACTTCAATGTCTAAGACGAGAGAAAACATTATATGTGAGGATTTGAGTTTCAAAGAATCGGAATTTCAACGGGAGCCAAAAGAAGTTGAAGCTACATTTGAAACATACATTTTCACTGCAGATTGTCTCAATCACATCATCAGGAGCTGTACCCAACAACTCTGTGATGATTGAGAATTGATGCACGTCTAGAACTCTTTGGCTTTGGTTTTGGTGAACTGGATTTACCAGTTGCGGAATGAAAGAAGAGGATATTGGAGGAAGTTACTGGGTAGGAAGATCGTGATTGAGTGATTTGCTGGGGAATATTGTGGGAAGGTGATGAAATGCGTCACATTGTTGAATCTGGGTCAATTTTTCTTGTTGTGAAGCTTAAGTGTGCACAGAGAGGAGCACGGGAGTGATGATGGTCCAATTGCTCCCATATAAACGAGTTTCTCGTGGCACTTACCCAGATCGGCACAGAGTTGTTGGGTATAACTACTGATGATGTGTCTAAGAGTACGTTGCTGGACCATCCATTAATACCGTAAGACCGGGTCAACCTCAAGAACTAAAGAACTAGCTGTTTTGGGGCTACCGTCTCCACCTATCGACCTACTGTAAGCGTGCAAGATAAGGTAGTTGTCCACCGTTTGCAGTCTGAAGCTCATTGCCCGCTTCCCACATAAGAGAAGGATCAGCCGAATATTTTATACCATTAACGGTATCTGTTCGATCAGCCAAAGTTCCTACTAAACCTGTAAAAGCACCTATAATAGTCGAGTTTGTATAGAACCAGTCTCGTTGTTCACCAAAGAGTGCAGAGAAGCCTCCCCAATACTCCTAATTGTCAATTGATGGCAGTATGAGCCTAATGTTGTGTTGACGTGCAATTCAGTGCTACTAGCGTTGGTTCATTGAAAATCAATTTTGGGAGATTTGTTAAAAGAATTGTTCCATTTACGATAATGTGACGTTGATATGGATAGTCTGCACTGGTAGCTGATTGCACAGAGAGCACATACGTCCTGGCGACTTTGCCGTTAATTTGTTGTCGATAACAGAGTATCATTCTTGTCATAAGGTATTGGTAGAGACCTAATGATTAGAAATATATAAGAATTGTAGATCTCTCGAAGAAGGGTTAAGCTCATTGGTTGAAATGCAAATTTGGGGTGCGTGTTGCAACTACTTATAAAGCGAAACTCAGCGTCTCCGGGCAAACGTCTCCGTCATACAAAAACGAAGAATTCTAGTACGAAAATTCGTCTTGGATGGCAAGAAGTCTCCTTGTCTACCAAGCTATCTACTGATCTCCTTTTTCAGGGCGGATGTTGTTGGTGCAACACACCAAACTTGCGTCTGGTCAAGAACAACACCTCAAAACACACCTAGAATAAGGGTAAGCTCTTGGGTAAACTCGTTAAAAAAGCTTCTGCAGTGTTTATTGACTAACTTTTTACCACAAATATTACACCCAATTAGCAGCTCACCGTCTTCTCTTCTCGCAATAATTCTGTCTGGAGTTTGGAGTGTTGCTAGTCCACACATTGACAACCCATTCACAACAAAAAATGCTGAGCGGTTGGGAGTGTAAACGAGGGTATTCAAAGCATCATGTTTTCATCAGCTACAGGGCTCGTGGCGCAAATCGTGAAAACGCTCGTAATTTGGCAGAATATCTCAATCAACAAACTTTGGGTGGAATCGATGGGTCTCCTTCTGTCAAAATTCATTGCTATCTGGATCAGTTATGCCTTGTAGATGGTGCCAACTTTGTTACCGGGTTTCAAAATGGACTTGTATCATCCAGAGTAGTTTTGTTGTACATCACATCCGATAGCCTACATCAGCTCAAGTTAGCTGATCAACAACCGGACAATATGTTATTAGAGGTAAGCATCGTTGAAACTATGTCATTCGCTTAAGTGAGTAGTTGTCGTGTTTGCTGAACAAATGAGTCTTCGTAGTGGGAGCAAGCGTTGAAACGTGCTACTGATGGAAACCTATCCGTATTTCCACTCTTTGTTGGAAGTAAAGATTCGAAAGGGAACTTTGAGCCTTTTAGTTCTTTCCCTGGTATCTTGGCTGCGGATTATCCTGATACTAAACATAGACACCCATCCTCGAACACTGATCAAACAATCAGACAGACTGTCAAAAATGTCTTTGAAATGCAGGGCTGTTTCTTAGACCCAGGAGAATGGGACGTGTGTGTATCTGTTTGTCTTTCTACGATAATGCAAGAAGGTGTATAACAATTTACCCTTTGGATTTGTAGTGTGCTTCCATACGTTAAAAGTTTTCTGTTGGAGTCAAACACTAAAGGGATGCTATTGAGGACTTTGAGGAATCCTCCTAATCCTCCCAATTCCAAAGACATTCAAAATCAAAGGGCGTGGTGCCTGAGACTGCCAACGTCCAACCCGTCAAAACTATACACCGCAACGTCTGTCGGTATTGACAAGCACTTTATCGCTGAATGGGACCTAGTGTCTGGAGCTATAGCAAGGAAGTTCCAAGTCCCAGATCCAACCAACAGCATTAACGACATGGCACTCGGAAATGACGAAACTCGACTCTTTGTAGGGCAGGACTATGGTCAATTTATAGAGATTGATTTAAATAGCGGTAGAATCGTCAAGAGAGTAGACACATACACCGGTTTTGTACATGGTGTATTTCCAGTGGGTCAGCCAGTCCATCACCTCTATACAGGTGGAGAGAAGGGCGGGCTGGAATGGCAATGGTCAACGGGCAAACAGACCAAGAAGTTTGTATATCCTGGAAATGGCCGAGAGGCGAATATCTTTCATAGCGCAGCCTTGTCTATGGACAAAATGTATGCCGGAACATTCGAAGCTGGTGAAATCATAGAGTGGGATATTGCGACCGCTAAAGTTACACGTACTTTTAAAGACAGCTGGGGTACCATTGATGATATAGTAGTATTAGGTGCACCAGCCAACCTACTATATGCTGGTCAACGGAGTCGTGTAGTAGAATGGGACTTGACAACAGGTACTCGAAAGAGGATATTCAATGTGCAGGAGCCAGGTTATAGTCTAGATCGTCGTGAGAATGTTTATCTAGCGGTATTAGGTCCACCTGATAATCGACTTTATGCAGTATCAGGTGATCACATCATAAAAGAATGGAGTCTGGACAATGGGTTGCTGGTTCGAACCTTTGTTGGACACTCAGAAGACATTCTGGCTTTGACAGTCGTGGGTTCTCCGATGTATCGAATGTACTCTTCGTCTCAAGAAGGTGATATCCGAGAATGGAACATTTCCAAAGAAATATGATCCGAGTATATTTGATATAAAAGCATTGAATTACCCTTCGATTAAAGTTTTGATGAACTGGCTTTTACCAGGTACGGAGTGGACGAAGAGCATATGGGAGGAAGCTATGGTTCAGTATTTTGGTCAACCGATTGTCTGGAGTGGTGATAGTAGTTAAGATGAGCTGAATTGCATTTTTAATCACTCTCCTTGATTTTTTGGTGTCAAGCGCAATATGTGTACAGGGAGCAGAAGAGAAGTGGTAGAAGTTCTGTTGCTCCTCTCTTCCCTTTTGTTTTGTGGCGAGTGTTAAAATGAAGTTCTGACAAAAAAAGGTCACCGATTCAAAGAATGTGTAAGTATATTTCATTTCACACTGAGATAATTAGATTACACCAGCTTCTTGTCAATAAAGAAAGACTAAGAAAGGGAGTTGGAGAAACATTTTAGACAACAGCCAACAAGAGTTTGAGAGACAAAGTGAGAGCATTTACCTTGAGATGACGAACTTGCCATAAGCAGGTCAATCTCAAAATCACCAACTACAGCGGAAAAAGTCATCAATGGTCAAAATTTTATATGTGCTGTCGTAACCACCATCAACGACTTCCTATTCAACAAAACAATTCATAAATGGAAGTGACCTGTGCGAGAGCCCAATTCACCACTCTAGAATTTGTTGATTCACTTGTATCCCTAAACTCTGATTCTCGTACCTAATTTGGCGTTGAATAACAAGTATTAGCGATGCAGACAAAAAAGTCTGGCAAGTGCTCCAATACGTACGCGTTGATATTGCTGTTCTCTCCTTACAGCAGCGATTCGATGATTGAGTTCTCGAACTCGTCGAGCCAGATCTAAAAGGAATCAAAGATGAATAAGAAGTTTGGACAAGTGGTGTGCGATAACCAAAGTGCAGAAAAACGTGAAGAAAGCCTCAAGTATTCGTTTGTGATAGGCGACTCACCGCTGATGGCTTTTTTAGGTTTGGTAGTTTTCATCTTCATCTCCAATAGTTAAATCCAGATGCAGTTTCTGTATTGAGAAAAGTATAGGAAGAGGTTGGAGATTTAATCAGATGAAATGAATTGAAAATGGTAGGTTTGGAACTCCATTTGAATCCAGTTTGCTTGGAAAGTGTTGGCTGTGAGGGTGACAAGGATGACAAGCTTACAATTCGTGATGTTGAAAACCAGCCACTGCTTATATTCGATGAGGTAAAAAAATTTAGGACTGTTACAGAATCATCCGGACGAGGTGCTGTTACCGCATTGTCATGAACTTACAAGCATATAGAATGATCACCAGCTTCAGCAGCAGGGAAGACAAACTTTCCTGAACTTGCAGCTTTTTGATTCACTAGTTCGTGTCGGCTTGGTAATTCCTGTCAGAGTGTAGACGGGTGAGTTTCGTGTAAGTGGTTGATTCAGTGTTCAACATTCATGCTTGAAAAGAGCCAGCCTCAGATTCCACAGTATATACAATTTCGATATATTACCTCTACGAATATTTGGATATCAGAGGCAGGATTTTCCATGAACTCTGATGTTGGTCATTCCATTCTTCGGCCTTAAAGTGAGTGACCTGTTTAATGTTGAAGGAGAGGTGACAATGTGAGTTACACGTATGATAGAAGCCAGCCTAAAACTAGTACTAAAATGCATATGGATATTCAACATACCTAGGACGACCGTGTCTTTTGGTAATCTGTCTACATATGTATCGAATCGACTCAAAGCCTTTATGTTCGTTTGCACGACGTTCATATCAAGATTAGTGTGACGTTTCAAGCTTTCTATATGGGTTGGGATAGATGTATAGATTTCGCCATCGTAAAGCATGTGAGGAGGAGTCACAGTAATCACCACCTGCAATGTCGAGTTTTAAAAAGTTTTAAAAAAGAAGAGTCAACCATTCACAAGCATGCATCGAAATAACATACTTGAATACCCATACAAGATATTCCCAATACTACGCTTCCAGTGATTCAAGACACAAACGATAGGAAGTTGGTGAGATTGTGTGCCCCCGGCGAAATGTACCACTTTGGGTTTTGATTCCTCGATAGGACGAGTAAGCATTCCGCGATTTAACTGTGCGAGCTTCTTGTAGACCTCTTTTGGTCTCAAGAATTGCATCAGGTCGTCCAGAATAACGTGCAGAGTTGCGAGTGATTCTACTTGTAATGAAAAGAAGTTGTTGTAAGGAAGAGAGCAACTTCAAGTGTCCAGAGCAACAAGTATAAAGTAGTGTACCACAGATCTGCCCTTGATCATGACTTTCCGACACCGTTCCCGTTGTGTGTTTGTTGAATACAGTTGATGACAGACGCACAAGAGTGCATTGTAGCGTGAAACATGACACTTGACCCTTCAAGGCCTGATCCAGAGCAAGAAAATAAGGATAAGAGTAATTTCCAACCAGCAAGATGGAGAGAAGATACGATAGCACTCGACACCAAAATCCCGTTTGCATTGTGGTCGAAAAGCGACGTGTCAGACATACAGCACAAAGAATTTAACACCTGGACCATCTTACAACGCGTAAGAAACGTACGACCAACCTCCGTTGCTAGAAGCGATCGCCTTTAAAACAACCTCAACTGTCGATGATGTCAGCAAAAAAGCCGGACTGTGTTTCATTCGACCTTCCACCACCCAACAGAAAAGTACCTCTTACCCAAAGTCGAAAAGTCTCGCTAAGAATCATGAGCACAGCTGCTTCATACGTAAGTCTCGAATACCCCTTTACCATAAACGATACATCTTCGGAAGCTAACGGGCGTGGAACTTCAAAAACCAAAAACGAATCGCTTAACCACATATTTAATACTAGAACAACGATACTCATGTGACGTTCAGTTACAAGGGGAAAAGCTACACAGTGCCAACAGGTATGCCTCAGCTATTATTATACGTTTTTCGTCAGCATTGATACATCGAAACACAAGCACTTTTGCTGTGACACTAAAGTCGTGAGGCACGTTTTACTAACATGCTGGATTATTAAAATAGGTCTTTTTATTGGTGGCAAGGTATAATTACTTATTTTCTATGCGCGGAGTGTTGGACTGGACGTTTGTGAAATGTTGCTGACTAGTGTGTTGTGACTTTAGTTCATCCCTTCCGTCTCTGGCAAGAAGTTCAAGTTCGTATAATGAAAGCCTTTCAGAATCGTCATCGATCGCTGACAATCCGAACATAGGTCCGTCAACCCAGCTACTGGAGAAGCCTTCATCGAGTTCTTTGAGGTACCGAAAACAACCTCAGAAAGAATCGCGATCACACATGGTACTCATACGGGTTGCAAATCATAGGGAGACAAGGCCGATGTAGACCTCGCTGTCGCAGCTGCCCGTGACGCAGTTCCCCGATGGGCCAAAATTACACCAGCTGAACGTGGTCGATTAATGCAGCGATTGGCTGATTTGTACCAACAAAACCTCCAAGTGCTCGCGGAGCTTGAATCCATTGGTATATATGCGACTCCCGGAAGTTTTTTTTCTGGTTGAAGTGGGATTGCTCACGCTCCAATTTGAACCCATATAGACAACGGAAAGAGTGTCAATGATGCTCGTGGTGATGTTTTGGGAACTATTGGATGTTTGAGATACTATGGTATGTGTTGTATCGCAGTTGGATAGGAAACATCCGTTGACTAACATGACCACTTTGTTGCCAACAGCTGGTTGGGCAGACAAGGTACATGATTGTTCCACGGCCTGTGTTACTGCTTGCTTCATCGAGAAAGGAGACACCACTGCATAGGTACATTATGACTTGCATTGATTTTTTGCCCGCATATAGATCCACGGAAAGGTTGTTGATGTTGACCCTGTAAGTCTCATAATCTCGTTTAGTTGTTACATCGGTGACATTTCTCTTACGTGCTTATCATTTTAGAACCTCCAATCCTACACCCGTAAGCACATGCAAAAATATTGCTGCCACGTGGCTTGAATTGCAATGACATTCGATTGTTTCCTAACTCCTTTTGATTTCATAGGACACGAACCGTACGTCATATTCGCGTAGCATTCCCACTACAAATCATCTACAACCTTTCTCTTTTAGATTCGGAATTGTTGGACAAATCATTCCATGTTAGTATCCAATCTTTTGGCGACATCGTCGCAAAAGAAATCTAAATCTATTAATTCTAAATAGGGAACTTCCCACTTTCCATGCAAGGATGGAAGCTCGGACCAGCATTGGCTACCGGCAACTGTATCGTAATGAAGACCTCTGGTGCGTTGCAAGTGATGTCTTGTCCTGATACCACGTTAGCTAACGGTTTTTTGGTTCATTTAGAAAAAACTCCATTGACTGGTTTGTTCATCTGCCAAGTAGGCCCTTCCTTATAAATGTCTACCGTTAACATTGCATTAATGCGTCTGATCTCGTTTTTAGCTCTTCGCTCAAGCTGGATTCCCACCAGTAAGCTTTCTCTACACTAATGCATTATCAGAGTGTAATATCTAATCTCACGACTATCTAAAAAGGGTGTCCTCAACGTCTTGTCTGGATTCGGACCAACTTGTGGTAACGCTATCGCCGTACACCCTGAAATCTTGAAGGTACGTAAGCCGAAAGTACATTATATGTTTCAGATCATAACATTGGTTTGATGTTAGGTTGCTTTCACTGGCTCAACTGCTACTGGTAATAACTGATGTGTCCGTCACACCTGTGTTATGATTATGTTACTGACTGTGTTCATCATTCTCTGCTCGTGTTTCGAATAGGTCGACGAATCATGGTACGTTCAAATAAAGACATCGATTTCAGTTGGAACTCTGAACTTCAAATCAATAACACACCCGTCTCTAGGCTGCCGCTGCCATGTCAAACTTGAAGAAGGTCTCATTGGAACTCGGAGGCAAATCAGCCAACATTGTCTTCCCAGATGCTGACATCAACAAGGCTGTATTCTGGTCTACCGTCGCCATCTTCTCCAACATGGGTCAAGCTGTATGTGTCCTCCTGCCTCAAAAGGATTCTTCGCTGCCATATTGACTTTTTTTCCGCACTAGTGTACCGCAGGCTCTCGTGTCTTTGTCCATGAATCCATCTATGACGAATTCATGACCAAGTTCCGTGCCGCTGCTGCTACGTTCAAGGTCGGCGATCCATTTGACAAGGATACTCGTCAAGGTCCTTTGGTCGATGAGGTAAATTGCAGTGTTGAACGTCAATTGATGCTTCAAATCTAATACTTTTTCTTTGACTCCAGACTCAATTCAACAGAGTCTTGTCATACATTGAACAAGGAAAGAAGGAAGGTGCCAAGGTTGAAATCGGTGGTCACCGTGTTGGAGACAAGGTTGGTTTTTTGGTTTGGAAGGAAGGAGCAGCTGAACAACGAAAGGAAGACAAAATTTTGACCTCGTGTCATAATAGGGATACTTTGTCTCCCCCACTATCCTCAGTAACGTTAACGACAACATGACTGTCGTCAAGGAGGTACATTGTTGATGCTTATTGTGGTACATGTATGGTCAGTAGCTAAGATTGAGCATTCATACAGGAAATCTTTGGACCCGTTGTCGTCGCTTTGAAGTTCAAAGATGAAGCTGAAGTCATTGCCCGTGCCAACAACACTGAATATGGATTGGCTGGTACGTGACGAAGTCCAGTTAGTGCACCTGAGGGATACAATTGGCTGATACTTCCATATCCGCATAGCTGCTCTCCACACCAAGAACATCCAAACCGCCGTCCGTGTATCCAACGCTCTGAAGGCCGGTACTGTCTGGGTCAACACATATCATCGTGTCAGCGTCCAGATGCCTTTTGGTGGTTACAAGCAGTCAGGAATTGGTAAGCGCTATGATGTTTTATCAAGTCATCACACAGGTGCTAACCATCTCCTCAAAAAGGACGAGAATTGGGAGAATACGGTCTGCAAGAATACTTCCAAGGTTTGGCCTGTCCCGATTCCAGTAGCATTTCATATGTATCTTTATCTCACACCATCTTCTCCATCATCTAGTCAAATCCGTCTTCATCAACCTGGATTAAACAACCAAAAAGGGACATGTCACTTGCTGTTGCCCAAGTTAGCAATTTTGTCAGGAGTCAACTTTTAATAAACAAAAAAATGTGTGATGATTGCAAATTCTTTCTGCGTGTCAATGGTTCGCAAAAGGATCATGAATCATCCAGTGACGGGTGATGGATGGTTGCAAATGTCAAAACCACCTGTAGCCGACAGCGTGCAACAATGGCTTGTATGCTGGGAACTGAATTCGACCTTTGTAGTCAAATGCCGCAAGATTGTCAGTTAAGAACGCTGGTTTGATTGTCGCTTTATCCAGTTAAGCTCCTTCATTTGGTTTCTCGCATCATCACAATATTGCAATCTGACGCAGAGAAAAATCTTTCATCACTCTGAGGCAATCTCTTCACCACTATGGCCTCAAAGAGGTTGGGCCCTCAAGCAGGCCAGTTCGCCGCTGATGATGTTCGTTTCAGCACTTGTTCATTGCATCAAGATCCCATGCTTTAAACTTTGTCAACTAGTCTTAACACATCTTCAACTTAGGACAGAAATGCTTGTTACAGCCAGGTGAACTGTGCTCTCCCAGTGGGTACAGGCTGTAGTTACCACCAAAGTGAAGCTGTAAAATGTGGCATTAAATCACTCTTCCTACACTTTAAGATTCATATTGAATCTCTCTTGCTGACGTGCATATCGTTACTAGAAGGTTGCTTGGTGGTGGTAAGGTATACGACTCGCCTTGTCCTGAAACCATGGCCTCTCTCAACCGCCGTGAGTTCGTTTCAACGGTTTTTTGGCATAAAAAGGTTGAGACTTGGGCAATTTTAACCTTCCAGAAAATTTGACAAGTTCAGCGCAAATGGATTTGATGATCCAGTTTTGGACGTTGTTTCCAAATGAATGCCTCTTTTTTGTATCCAGGTACAGCTGATGTAAATTGAAGAGAGACGAAGGACTTTGCTTTCGTCCTTTGAGCTTTGCTATTTGAATCTCATTTTTGGAGCTACGCATCGTCGAAGAAGTGTCTCGCCACCTACAAACTTCATTTCGGCTTCACATTCAAGGCAAGATTGATTGCCAATCGAAGCAAGTATGATACGACGAACCAAGGTACACGTATATGCAGAGTGTCGTTTAAACCTTTGACTGAGTACCAACTCACACTTTTAGATTGATCTTACGGGCTCTACCACAGTCTTCATTTATTTATTTTTGCAGCAATTTGATCATCTTTTCTCTTGTCTCAAAGTTAAGCAGCAGCTACCTCAAGCTGCAAAAGTTCCTCTAGAGGACGGTGGCAAATGACCATGCCGTATCCTTCCAGATACACAAATCAACGATCCGCTATGTGTTGTTTTCAGACACATTGTACTACTGGGTTCCCGTTGACTTGTGACGATCTTTCAGGCTGCTGCTAGCTGCTTCATGCAAGGGCGGAGATCCGTTTAGTACGGATGTGGAGGAAAGGGGCATTTGGGTGAAGAAGTATTGCTGTGTGACAGTACAATTTTATTGGCTCGAACATTGATTTTGAATTACGGGACTTGACGAAATTTGAGCAGAGACTTGAAATACACTGAGGATGAGGAAGGCAGGGTTGGAGCTTGAGGATGAAGGAGTGGCATATTGCGGAAGGATTCTAACTCTGCTACCATACTTTCTAACATGAAGTACTCGTACCTTAAACCTTCCGGACTGTGTATTTTTGCTCACAGTTCTCTCCATTTTCAGACATTTGTAGAATGCATGTTGCGATTTCTCTACGTGGAGACCTCGATCGAGCCTCATGTACGGATGATCCGCATTTTGTCACTTTGTTGCTGCAGAGGCAAGTGAAAAAAAACTATTCATCACCTTTGTAACCGATCATTGAAAATTCCAAAATTTCCAGTTTATGTGCTTGGACTGACACGTATTGGTCTGCCAACTGTTTTGATCTCCCTATCCGCGTATTGTTGTTGTTGCAATCTACGACCTAGACTGTACCTCTAATCTCCACGTTTCCTCGACATTTGACCAGATTTAAGATACTTAAATTATATTGCCTCAACCTATTCTACAGCATTAATATGCACAACACTGCCGATCCCAAACTCAGTACACTCCACCTCGTCACAAAACCATCTGATGTTGCCCCAGCCTGAGTTCCCGCAACTGGACTTGTCGTAGCTGATGGTGCTGCAGCTGCCACAACCGTACCGGTAGCAGCTGAAGCTGTACTTGTAAGCACTGCTGTTGCGGTTGCAGGTGCATTAACAACCTGAATCTGAATATTGAATGTCGATACTATTTCCACGGAATGCTAAAGAAAGCCAATGCCTCAGTTGTCGTATCCTTTACACGGAGCAATCAAACAACACAACATACTATCATAATAAACTTGTACGTTGTCAACGCAGTAAGAGTGGTCGGTGTCCCCACAATCTGATAGTATCCTCCGTTCTTTGTCACGTTGAGACCATCTGGTAATCCGTTAGGTCTATAGCACGGTTTCTTGAGAAAGTCGTTTGAGAAGGCTTCGTTTGGTGTGGTAAAGTTCAAGGGTGTGAGGGGAGTTCCGATGATTGCAGTGATTGTGAATATGGGCGTGTTTGTGTCGGATGTTACGAGGGCGCTGTAGTTTGAGCGGTAGTTTGCTTGTGAGCAGCCGTTGAAGAGTTGTGTGCACTAGTAGTGGTGAGAGTGTTAGGAAGTGGAATGGTGAGCAATGTTAGGAAGGGTTCAGAAGATGGTGAAGATCTCGACAAGTCCAACTGTAAGTGTGGAAGTCCAAACTGCTGAGTTCTGACTTCCAATGCCAATGTGCTCTCGTACGTACAGTGTTTGAGGCAGCACAACAATCGCAAATACAATTAGCAGCTGGAGTAGCCATATTACTACATGTCAATTCAGGATTGTCGTTCGTACAACTATTTGGGCCATATGAACCTAAAGGAAGAAATCTATTTGAGTTAGCATTCAGAATTGATGTCCGACTGGTATAATCCGCTTGACAAGACAGATCAAGCTAGAACGAACAAAGTCTAAAAACGAACTTGACGTTCCGACAACTTACCACAAGCGACAGCAAAGCTAACCAAGTTCAGAGCCAGCACAATGCGTCCAGCAGTAAGTAGCATGTTTCTCCCTGCTGGCTCCTGAACTTGCTAGTTGCTTTTAGTTTAGTTCCTTCGATCGTCCAAAATAGATGGGAGAAGCTTTAGTTATTCAGGTCAACCCACACCCTGCTTATGACAACCTTATGAGGTATTGACTAATGTGCGGTAACAACAAACGTATGTAAACAAGACTCAAGATCTTGTATCGTGTCCCGCTCTCTATCGTATAAAAATGCAGTCAGCGTCAAAATCGCACCGACATGCTCTGTCAATGTTGTTTTTCGACGTGTTTGTAGCAGGTTATTGAGTGATTTAATGAATTCCACGCGCTATAAAGACATTGAGACTGTATTTCCGTGCCCCTATTACAAGATCTCCTTTTTGTCGTTTCTAAAAACTAAACACTCACACGAAGCGTGAGTCAAAAAGCAACATAAAGGTCAATCTCTGCTGATAGAAAGGAAGAGAGATCCACCCCATGGTAAGAGCGATATACATTCTCATCGTTCTCGCATACATTAAACACCTATGCTACACACTCTTGGCGCTTTTATATCACCAAAATTAATACTTGTGCTTGATCTTATCAATAGTCTTGGAAGGGTCTAACAAAAGCAGTCCAGCGGCTCCCTCATCAGCTACGAGCCAAATCTGGTCATGCTGAAGTCACCGCTGACTATGAATACGATGATATGGAGGCAGCCTTCAAAGCTCTCGACTTGGCTGCCAAAAAATTGAATGATGATGCAAAGAAATTCAGAGACTCCCTAGCTGGTTTATTGAATCATCAGGCAGAGTTTGGCAATATATTGAGTGATGTCTATCTGCCACTATCTGGGAGGGCTGGTCGTCAAGGAAATGATGGCGAGGTTGGTGGACATGGGGTAAGCGACTGGTGATTTGGATGGGATTTGTACTGTGGAATGTTTTATATTATGTCTTTATATTGATCCACGATCTCATATGTCCCCTCTTCCAACTATACCACTATAGATGAAGAGGGCAGTCACACCTCCACAATCACTCAAATCCACCCAAGACTTTGCTCGCGTAATGGCCCAAGTCAAGGAAGATCTCACTCCAGAATTAGAGCTAATCACAAGACGTGTAGTCCAGCCAACCTCTGACTACATCACCCTAATCGAAGCCGTGAAGAAAATGATGACAAAACGAGCCCACAAGCTAGTAGACTATGATCGTCATCGTCTCGCCGTAAAATCCCTAAAAGAAAAGACAGACAAGACAACCGCTGATGAAAAAGAATTGGGCAAACGAAACATGGCTCTAGATCAAGCCACTCGAGAATACGAAAACGTGAATAATCTATTGAAGCAACAGTTACCCGTATTCCTGGATTTACGAGTCCAGTTCATTGATCCATGCTTCCAGACCCTGTTTTGGTATCAGCTTAAAGTGTATACGTGTCTGACAAACAACTTGTATGGTTTGGTCGGGGAGAACTTTGATGCTCGTGTATCTGCAGAGTCTCTGGCACAAGCTGCTGGACAACGATGTACTGATTTGCTCAGTCAAATTAGTTTGATTCGAGCTATATCGGCACAGCCTGCTCCTCAATACAATCCTGGTGTCGATGGAGACGATGATGGAACTGGTGCTGGTCGTAACTCGGTTGATAGCAACGGAGGTCATAATCCACCACCGCCTTACGATAATGGTTCTGTTGCTAGTGTATATCCATCATCGTCTTCTCATGTTGGTGGCATCCCAAGACCAAACACGTCACCAACGAAATCATATAATTCGGCCTCCTACAATAACAACAACAACTACAATCAACAACAGGGCCAGCTCCCAATGCCAACAATGGCTCAAATGAAAGCCGCTGCTCCATACGCTGCAGCAGCAGCCCCATACGCAGCAGCCGCAGCTCCACACGCAACTCCATACATCCATGCAGCAGCATCACAACACGTTCAACAGCAATACGGTGTCAAGTTACCACCTGCTGCTACATCAGCTGCTGTAAATGCTGCCGTATCATCGCAATCGTCGTTACAGTCTTATGGTAATCCCGCCCGAGATTACTCTGCTGCACCATCTCAGCCCAGACAACAACAGAATCGAGTGTTTCCGTCTATTAAATATGTGGTTGCATTGTACGATTTTGATGGACAGCAGGATGGAGATCTTGTGTTTAGGAAGGGAGATCGCATTGAGGTTGTTGAAAAGACTGGGGATGTTAATGATTGGTGGACAGGTAATGAGGAATAGTGGAATCAGCTTGTTTTGTAAACTGCGCGGTTGTAGAATCAGCCTTTTGTTCTTTGCGTTCAGCATATTTTGTTTTTGAGAAACTTGTTACCAACACAAACCTTCGAACATGATGACTCACACAAAGTATCTGTAGGAAAACTCAGAGGATCTCAAGGCCAATTTCCTGGGTACGTCTCTTCGCAAAACCCAACAACATGCAGTTTAAGTTCCATCGCGATTTTCAGCACGAAACTGATGTACAAACCTTGTCTCCATAGAAACTATGTTGAAGATGCTTGAAAGCAATACAGAGATAGAGAGGAGCTTTCCATTGTGTATTTCCCTATCATTATTATGACATAACTGATCTCAACCCCAGCGTATATAAACTATAACTCAGCATCGTGAAAGGCGTATCTTTGACGCGTTAGTTCGCTAAAAGAGCGGCATAACAAGCCTATTTACTTTTCCACCACGTTGGCCGTTTTTCATGTGTTTGGCTTTATCAAACCTAAAAACGATCGGGGATTCTACACTTACTTAAAGCCGTGACTCTCGCTCCATCGCTTCTTCCACACCATTCTCGACAAAAAATCAAAACACCTGCAACGAGAAACAAGAACGTACAATAGCAAACATGACTAAAGCAATAACAGCATCGGTGCTATTAATCCTCACATCATATACAGCAACAGACGCATTCTGGTTTTCTTCACGCTCTGCTCAAGGAAACGCCATCACAACTACTCATGAGCAAGATCCTTCTTCTGGTCCTGCTTCTTGGTAAGCCCTTAGAACTCACTTGCAACGCTTATATTATGACGTTTTGGTCACTTTGTTACGAGTGATCGGTTATTAACACGATGTTTTATCGTCAAAACTTTAGGTATGGAAGCGTCGACCAACTCCTCGGCGGAACATTCTCGACGCTTGATGCACGACGTGCCAGTTACATGCATGGCGTGAATCTGAAACCTACTGAGAAGGCTTACAACTTGGTATGCTTTTCATTGCTTTTCTGGAAATCACGTTTTTGGTTTTTTTCTCCGCCTGCCTCTTACACATGCAACATACATCTAATATGTACGTTTTACTAGTTCCTTGATGTACCTGGCATCTACGAACACGAAGTCAACGTCACGATCGACCATGACACACTCATCTTACAAGGCCATCACGCATGTGACGAGAACGATGAAACATGTATTGAAAGACATTACCGGACTAGTTTGATGCTGCCTCCTGATGCTGAGAATGAGAATATTGAAGCTGGTATGTGTGTAGTGTATCACGTAAAGTGGTTTCTGGTTGTCAAATGACATCCCATACTCTCACGGTGCTGACCGCCTTTTTTCGCCATCACCTTAGGAGTCGAACATGGAGTAGTCCACGTCTACATCCCACGCAAAGCATACACCAAATCCGAGTCCCGACTACTACCCATCCGACAAGGTCTCGCACGAGTATCCGACTATGTTACCTCTGGTGTCAAGGGTGGTGCTGAGTATGTTACGTCTGCTGTGAAAGGCAGTGCTGCTGCTGCTACTGACGTTGGAAAGGAAGGTGCCAGGAAGGTTTCTGAGGCTGGTATGTAATGCAAAAAAATAAACCAGATATTTCAAAGATGTATTCGTGTACCGATCGCTTTGCTAACAAAGTTTCCCTTCATTTTAGGGGAATACATAGTAAACCAAGGTGCCAACGCCGGTGAATATATCGTCAACAAGGGCAAAGAGGGTGCCGGATACGTCCAACAAAAGGGTGAAGATGCTACCGAGTACGCCAAAGACTCTGCATCATCCAACGCCCAGTACGTCAAAGACTCTGCTGCATCAGGTGCCCAATACGTCCAACAAAAAGGTCAAGATGCTGCTGGATACATGCAACAAAAGGGTGAAGATGCCGCCTCATACGTCAAGGACTCTGCCGCATCCGGTGCTGCCTACGCCCAACAAAAGGGCAAATCAGTAACATCCAACGTAAAAGACTCTGCCACATCTGTCGCTAATGCTGCATCATCCAAAGCTGCTTCTGCTGCCAACAAGGGCGCATCTGCTGCTTCATCAGTCACATCCAATGTCAAGGACTCGGCTACGAGTGCTGCTCACGCTGCTAGCTCAAAGGCTGCGTCGGTCAAGGACGGTGTGAAGGGGTATGCTGCTGAGGGTGTCAAGAAGGTTGCTGAGAAGGTGTCTGAGGGTGCGGAAGAGGTTGCTGCTGGTGCTGAAAAGACGTCAAGAATGGCGGAACATGCGCAACATACTGGTGTTGCCGGAAAGATCAATGAGATGTTTGAGGCTGTTAAGGAGAGGGTTTATGGTGATAAGCATGCTGGAGAAGAGTTGTAAAAGTGGGGTTATTAAGTAGGTGGAAAGGTTGTAAAGTTTGTTAGCTTTTTTTGTTGTATTATAAGCACACAAGACCAGATTAGGGAGGAATAAAAGCACAATATCATACCATATATCTTTGTGACATGTTTGAAAACTGCTGTGCTGATCGCGTCCAGGGGGGGGGGGAGGATTTGGATGTTAATGGGCTTTTTAAGTTTAGATTGTAGTTGTGCTTTCTTCTTTTCAGTTCAATACAATGTTTACTACAACCCTCAAAACGCATCCCTTCCTCATGCGAGTAGTTGAGAACGGTGTTTGGTGCTGTGTTTCGAATGTCTTCAAAGCCACGCTGCCGTAGTTCCTTCGCACAAAAGAGCGATCGACTTTTTAAGCTCCAAAGCTCGTATAAAAGCAAGCAATTAGCTCTGACATCCTTGCGATGTCACGGCATCCCCGTTCGTCAAGCCGTACACGCTACCAAGACGACAATTCCTCCTCCCAATCCGCACATTTCCCAAAACAGCTTCAACAACAACAGCAGCATGCCCCTTCATTCGCAGTCGCCAGAGCAATGGTTCAACATACGCCCGCTGATCAAGCATTCGCTCCTCCTGCACCTCCTGAAGCACGGCCGCATCGTCATCACCATCACCATCAACAAGGACATAAAACGTTAGAGATAAAAACAGCTGCCAGCAATGCAAGTGATGTAGGAATGGAGTCAACAGCACCTACATCGCTGCAAAGATACTTTTCTGATCTTTATGATAAGTACTACTTGGGTGGGTTCATGTACAAGAAGGAGGTTGCTGATGTGTCGGAGATTGGGAGCTCGGCGTATGGGGATTGGAAGAAATGTATGTATTGGTAATCGTTATCTTGTCGTCTTGAATGTGCTGCTGAGCTATAGTTGGTGCCTGGTGTGTTGGTTGCGTTAAAACTGTGCAAGCTCACACATTTCTTCACAATAGACTGGTGCGAGCTCCGTGGTATCGAGCTCCACATGTACCTTGTACCCGCTGAACACCACCTACCACCCACCGCAAACGGCCGCAAATCACTCATGGAGCAGGAACTAGCACCATCTCGCAAATACGTTGAAAAGATCAAAAAGGCGTGTCTCGCTCCTGAAGTTGTGGATATAGCGTATTCGACCATGGAAGTGCTGTCAAATGTTAGTATAGGCATGACGGGGTATGCGCCACCAGCACCATTTGATGTGTTTGTGGGGCTGAATCTGTGGGGTAATCAGCAGGTTTATGTGATGGGGTTTGTGAGTAGTATTGCGGCTAATGAGTGGGTGGCGGGTATTCGGTTGGTTGAGTTTGAGCTGTCGAGGCTGAGTGCATGTAAGTTGTTCAATGAAACTTTGTGTTGCTTTCTTGAAAGTCATTCTGCAGCGTGCTTTTTTTGGTCCCTACAATCGTTTATTATGCTAAAACCCTTGTTTCCAAACACTGCAGTATACACATACAACCTCCTTAAATACCCACCCTACTTTTCGATCTGGAAGGAATTAAACCTCTTCCCCTTCGACACCGCCTCATCACCCAACGCCATACACTACGAAGGACCCGTAACAGCGCTTTTATCTGGAACCCAAACATGGCAATCGTTCTGGATTGTCCTTGACTCTGCTACATCGTCACGAAACACGTATCGAGGCGTATCGTGTATGAGCTTCTACTCGGATAGGTTAGACGCTCGGAGAGAGATACTACCGTTATGCCAAGTACTGGATATAAGCAGTGCGCATGCATCATGGCCTGGTGCTGGTGGTACGCCGACGAGTAGTGAAGGGTGGGGATGTAATTTCAGTGTGTTTGGAGGCGTTGTGTATGAGCCTGTTGCACCAACCAATCGTAATAGGGATAATAATGGTGGTGTTGGTGGATTTGGAAGTATTCTGCCACGCCTGCTTGGATCTAGCAGCGACGAAGAAGACGATGACAGAGGTCGCAGCGCGGATAATAGTAGACGGGACGCAAAGGCACGATCGTTGTCGAGAGGAAAGCCTCGTATAAAAGATAATTCATCTGTTGTCGATGGTGGGAATGGAACAGCATCAGTGCTAGGTGAATTGGACATAATTCCACAACACATCCAATTCAAAGCCGACACGAAACTCGAGATGCTGAGATGGGTTGTTGCTATACATGGAGCATTCACGCTTGATTCGAATATAAATGGACGAGAGATGGAGTTGAAGGGTGAATCTACCAGTAAAAACGTCACGCTGGATCGAATGGTGGGGAAAGGGCAGCGATGGGTACTAGATAACTTGGCATCATCTGAACATGATGATGGATTCACATATCCGCCACCACAACCTACTGGAGCTGCAGGATGGGGCCTCTTATACCTCTCAGTCGCTGAAGTAGCTGGTATAGATATGGTGCCCGTTGGACTCGCAGCATCACAAACCGTGTTTACCAAAGTATTAGCTGACAAGACACTAGCACGACTAGACGCACAGCTAGAACAATGGAATGACGTTATCAAGATGGAAGAGCATGTGAGAAGAGGATATGAAGTATGGGAAGTAGATGCCAAGATACGGAAATCTAGTGATGTTGCAGATTCAAAGAAGACGGTGCCGACATTCGCCAAAGTAGATAGACGGAATGCGAGGACGTCGCTTATGATACGGCTGACTGATGATGATAGGGATCAGAAACTCATGTTTCCACCTGTACGAACCTCCTCAAAGGGCGGTGATGATCTTCGCAACAATAATTATAATAGTAAAGCGCGTAAACCGATAAACTATTCCGACTGGGAATCAGCTGTATCCGTCAGTGCCGGATGGGCTCCGCCTCAACCCATATCCTCATCAACATCAGCAAGAAAACCCAAAATATGGATCCCACCATCCAACTTCCCTCGTGTACCTCCTTCCTCATCATCCCTACAACAACAGCAACAAGGATGGAACAAACCACGCCGCCCACCATCACCTACATCAATAGGCACACTTGCAAGTCCGATTCCGGTATGGCTGGCTGAGAAGCTGCCGTCTCTGAATCGACCTGGTGGAGGGATTCCCAATCCACATCCGCAGGCATCTGCTACGCTGGCAAGGTTGCGTGATAAAGGGATACAGGCTGTTGCGGTGCCGATATCAGGGAGGGTTGGTGTTGATGAGAGAGATGGGAGGCCGAGGTTGGTTGTTGCGCAGGTTGTGGGGAGGGGTGGGAACGGTGGAAGAGGTTGAGGAAGTTTGTATATAGTAGCGACGTTGGAATGTTGAAAGGCCTCTGTTTTGTGGATCTCTTTTTGTAAGTCTTGTCTGTAGATATTATAAAGTCTTCTATTGGCGCCTCATCGTATGTAACTCGATAAGGACTTGATTCAGTTTCTATACCAAGTCTATATCCAAACTAATTTGGCAATAATTTGACGAGATTGCGTCTTAGTGCAGGAAGATTGTTCTTCTCGATGCGCGACAAACCCAATGAAAGCTATCTTGGATCTGATGTTGTTTCGCCATGAAGCTATCTGATCGGATGTCAATTTGATGTAAACAAAAATGCGGTAGACCACGATCAAAACATGCAGAGCAGATACCTGAATACAATAATAATATAATAGCCAGAACGAACGGATTGATCCTCCTCTACGATCAATTCTTCAAAACGCGATCTACTCTCATGGACTGATAAATCTCGCTTAAGTGCATTACCGGGCGTTTGATACAAGAACAGATCACGGCCGACTTGATACGATTCCAGAAATATTGTCCGGCGGCATTTGACACGCCTATCGGCGGATGAGATTGTTGGATAGGTGTGGTTGAGAAGGAGAAAAATGACAATGTGTCCGTCGTGGTGCAGACGACTGTTTTGAGGATCACATTCAAAGGTAGTCGACTAGACCCTTCATCCTGACGTGCTGGCAACACACCCAATATCTTCCACTCCCTTTTGACATTTTAGCTTTAACGAAAAGTTACTTGGCAATGCTTCGACCATCATCTAGACACTTCTTTCTGACTCGAGGTTGACGATCCTGAATTTTACTAGTATCATTCAAATGCGTTAGACACAGGAGGTCTGAAACCACAAAACTTGATAACCAGACCTTCTCTTTCCTCCAACAAGATGAAGTTGTAAAACGGCAAGATTCAGATTGAAAATGAAATGAGCAAACTGCAAGATATATTGGGTGTCGACAAGATTTCTATAGTTTGAAACCGTCTGGAGTTTCAGTTTCACCTCATCCTATGTGGTTCAGACCAAGCACCCCTTGATATCTGTGATGGGCTCAACCATCCCTTGACTTTTTCGTTCTTGACTTCAGACTGGATCGTTGGTCTTGAGAGTCCTATACTACTTGCAGGTCGATTTGGTAACAAGCGTATTAATGGCTCTTGATACACTCTTGACGTTGTGGTCGGACTAGATGCTCGTGACGGTGACACTGCTCTTGCTACTGGAATAGCTAGTCTTGATGGGGATCTTGCTCTTGCTGTTGGGCTTGATGCTCGTGTAGGAGACTGTGATCTTGTTGGAGACGCACTCCTACTAGACCTTCCACCATGTCGCATCCAAATTGGCATTCGGATCTCCTTTTGCTCAGTCAGGATGGGTAGTCTTGAAGGAGACACTGGTCTTGGAATGACGAGAGGTGCATTGGAGGCTGATAATCCCGAGCTTGACATCCATACTCCCACCAAATCGAGCAGTGATGCATGTAGAGATGGATCTCGTCGTGGTTTTGAGGCTTCTAGAAGTGCCATTATTCGAGATCGTGATGTGCGGATGTCGTCCTGTTGGTGAATTAGGGGGTTTTAGGATTGTTTTTTTTTTGTTGTTCAGCTTTAACATATCTCTTACAGCAATAAGCGCGAACTTGCGTCCAACACTATCCGCCAGCGTAGCAGGATCCGTCTCTTCAAGCTTGATAGACATCATTTCTTGAGTCTTGAAGAGAACATGTTCGTAAAACACCAACTTTGCCTGTCGTTTTCGTTTCGGAAAGGATGTTGTTGGTCGAGTAGGTGATTGCCTCGTCTTGGGATCGTAATGGATTGGTGATGATGTGATTGCTATTGCGTCTAATCTGATTTCGGCTGTGTATCTAACGATTTTATGGAAGCGTCGTCAGCAACAGAAAAAAAAACTAGAAAATCACAAGTGGATACCTCTGAGGTTCGGTAGCGACTCCAGCCAAGAAGTCACCTCCCAATACGCCAACAACACCACCTGCGATACCATCTTGAGGATGGAATCCAAGTATCTCCGTCCTTGAATACTTGTGTGTCGAAGGTGTATGACCTGCGACTTGTAAACGTCGGGTGATTTCGAAGAATGCCTGATGAGAGATTTCTCCAGACTCGAATTTAAACATGATGTCAGATGGAGATGTCACACACAGCTTGTAGTAGGTTGTTGTTGACGAGTCCATTCCCTATAGGAAGCTCGTCTGTGTTACTATTTTGGGCATGACAAAGTTTTCTCTGCCACAACATACATTCGAAAACATGGTGAAAGTCAGCTTGAGATCTTCCTTTTCATCATTTCCCAGTTTCACTGATATCGGGATGGTATGTGCATATACAGCTAAAAAAAACGAGAGGATATTGATAATAGCGAAGGATGAAAGTGGTATTTGGAAAATACCTGTTCCAGGTGTAACATCCTCTTGTGACCACGTAACTAGTCCCCGTCCTCTCTCATTCTCTACAACATTTAACATGACTTGAGGAGCTTGTCGCGCAGTGACTTCAAGTGCTTCGACTAGTGCACTCTTAATAGCGGATTGTATTTCCTACAGTAACAAAGGTTTAGAGTAATAGCAAAAGAAGAACACTGATATATCCTTACTTTTAGACGATGGTATTCCTGTTTGATGTCTTTGACAACATGATCCCAAGGTACAGGTCGAAAGTTCAGTTTAAGTAGCGAGACAGTCCTATATCCATGCACAATTTCTTCGAATGATAGGCATGCGTCGTTGCATCCTGAGTCTATTGTTACTGTGGCCGTGAACCTATATTGATGGCTGTAAAGTCACGCAAAAAATGTACCGCAATCTAGCAAAATCCAGAAAGCATACCTGGCTTCATTACCGACACAATCCTCAATCCTCCGCATCAAGAATCCCCCAAAATCTTCAAATACAATCTCACTATCTCGTCCAGGCAAGTCCCACTCGTGCTCATTAACCAGCGTTCGAAACGAGAAGGGATCGCAACTAAACTGCCATAATTCCAATACATTATCCAGTGGCATTGACATTACGATCCGATGCGATTGTGGGAAGGGTGTGTTTGACAGTGGATGTATTCGGATGCGACAGAGTGTCCTTCGTGGTGTAAAGATAGCCTCTGAAGGCCCATTTTTCAATATCACGTTCAAATCCTGCGACCAAATATCGCCTAAGTAGATATTCAATTGTCAGCGAACGCTTATTGCTCACATCGTATTTTGACGAAAAACACATAGAATGTCCAAGTTTTGATGTTTCTTCACTTACGAGTAATACCATCGGCGGGAGGTAGAGAGGGACGTGAATCATCTAAATCAACACGTCTAGAAAAGGATGGCATGATATGCGTTTGCCGCACAATTCCTATCGTCACTGGCGACACTGGTTCTTGATGCACGTTTTCAGATTGCCACCAAGTATGAGGAGTCAGGCGAAATGGGTCATTCAGCGAGCCGGCGTGCTGCTGGTTTGACAAGTTTGGTATTCTAGACCTCATCGCTAACCGTCAGTCTCTCTACGGTCTTGGCTCTCCTCGAATTCTTACTTGCGTGTTTTCTGATGTGATCTGAAGATTGGCACAAACACGAGAAAGTCTAAAATCTAAAATGTATTCTACTTGGATTTCATTATGATTCAAGAAAACAGATCTATCTCTATACAAGAAGGAACAGATTATATACACTAAATACACCTGTCGGTTTACGTGACAGTTCTTGTCCTAGATTACACTTCAAATGGGCTGCATACCACTACATGACTACTGTGAAGAAGCAGATGGCAGAGATTCAGAGACACGAGTAAGCTCTCTGATGGGTTCAACACTTTGCTCTTGTGTGAAGTCATTGCCAACATGATGTTGAGCGCCTCTGGTCAGCTCCAAATAGATAAAAGAGACTATGATCACGATATAAAGTCCGCCTACTATCATCCACACCCATGATTCGGCTGTAAACAAGTCGTTATACAAGAGAATTCCGAGTGGAATGTTGCAGAGTCCTGCTAGACACACTGTTCGTCCAAACCAATGATGAAACTTGTCTCTTATAGGTACATACTGTGGGAAACAGGGTGAGAGTCTTGTAATAGGAGTGAAACTTATGTTCAGCTTACCAGTCGTGACGGATTAAACATGCAGTTTATAACCATCCCCACTATAACTTGCAAGAGAGCTCCAAACAAAACGAAAAATCCCACCATCCCATGTATCCCAGTATCCATGTTCCCTCCAGTCAAAGTCAACTGAAGAGCCATATACCCAGCAATTGTCAATCCAAAAGCACAGATTCCCAGACACATGAAATGAGCTCTAAACCACCAGACTCCCAATTGAGCTTTAAAGTATCGCGAAATCATTATGATTGGAGGTGCGATGACTGCCCAGGCCATGAACATTGCTAGGCCGTGGACTGCGACCTGAAAGTTTCGAGATGGCCGGTCAGTCCATTTATTTGCACATTCGCAAACAAAATTAAGGCAGATGTCTTACAAAGAATTGGAAATTGGCTCCACCAGCGACGAGAGTAGCGTTTGTTCCGGGATTTGCAGATGCCAGTAAGAAATTGGTTTGAAAGGAACCACGGTTTGAGCCAGAATGTTGAGCAACGGATGCAGTACTAGAGGTACAACAGGGGTTTTGTTAGAAGCATCATCGGTTTCACGAAGAGCAAAAAAAACTCAAATTTGCTACGACAAGGCGTCAACACAACAGGTGCCCTTACATGGATGAGCTACTCACAGCCTGAGTGCTGTAGGCATAAATATAGGTCTGTCTCCCAGTGATGTTTTGTTCGCCACTCAAGGAAGCCGTCTTTGGCACCGTGAAAACAGCACTCATGTTTCCCGTCACAGTATTCACGTAGCTCATATCAGGCAATAGCTGCACATTCTGCGTCGAGAATGCGACTGGAAGGGCCTCTTGGGTGCTTTGTCGACGAGAAACGACTACACTTCCATTATATGGCCATAGCATAATGATATCTTTGTGGATGAGGGTGACGGTGAGAAGAAAGAATATTGCAAGTTCTATCGAACCTCTTGGAGCATCACAAAGCACACAATCTCGCATACCGGCTTGTTTCATAGAACTTCCAACACCAAACGAGGCCCATCCGATGCTTGAAGTTGTTTCAACTTGGAAACGAACGTCGCCAGTTCCCAGATCTGTAGCATAGATCTTGACATTTCCAAATGCGACAGACTGAGCAAATACTAAGCAAAGTAAAATTTTGAAGAATCTCAGTATTTTTGCCATTTCGTTTCATTAGAGTTCTTGAATGACAGAACGATTCCATCCAGATCGTTCCGTTCAAGCAACAACAGGTATATGACCCGATGCCGATAGTTTCCTTCTAGTTCGTTCTCGTTCTCATACATTTCCAGCATTTTATCCTCCAAGCATCCTTCAGAATAAGTCGACAGTTTGGAAGGAATGCTCCTGGGTTTGTAAAGGACATACCTTGACTGACGAGACTTTGTACGATCAGAGTAAGATACATTACACGTGTTCTAAGGTATTGAAAACACGGTCAGCAAATGTGCAGACCTCAACCACAGCAAATGATTCTTGCATTTATCAAAACATATTTCAGATGCATACTGCGCATGCCAAGAGTCGACATAGCGCAAGAGGCCTTTTCCATGCATGTACGTACCATGACTCTTGATCTTGTGAGGGCATCGACTTGTCGTCTGTTCATCTTGAGCTCCCATCACTATCATTCGCTACGCAAAGAGACAACAGAGTCTATTAATTAGACCGTATACAGTACACATCTTCTAATTGGAAAGAGAGCATACCCGTGTATATTATAATTTCACGCGTCAAATTTCTATATATTTTGCAACCATCAAAGGAGCTGTTCTCACCTCTTCACTCTTGATTTTCTTAAGAACCATGAGTACGAGACTTAGAAGACAGAACAGGAGGCCAAGAGAGAAGGAGAGAGATACTCTGTGCGTATACTGGTATGTTCTGCCGCTGCTCTCTCTATTACTTTTCTCTTTGCACCTCAAATTCGTGGTCAAACTGCTGACTGGACGCAACGTAGATTTAAATGCTAGCTCAACGTAGAATATACAGTCTCCTGATACTCTGAATGCTGCAATATGCTCAAAGGAGTCACTTTCAAAGGGAAGTAACCGCTATTCCAGCAACATCGATCATTTGCAAGGAGGACCAAATATGCAAAGGAGCAGCACATCAGTTGATTGATTCCTTGAGGCTTTACTTGGAATGGTGCAGCCATCAAAATGATCGAACTGAAATCAAACCCACAAACCACACCTCGCTCACATGAAGACAGCTCGTGTGAGATATTCCAGCATCGTGAACCACAGATTTGCAGCACCCATCAAAGTTGACAAGAGAATCACTATCAATACTCGCATCTTTACATCCCAATCCGGAATATTTGCTTTCATCATGCATCCAAACATCCTTCTAACAATGGGCATCATCATATCTGGTCTCATCAAGCCAATTCGATCAGCTGGCTGCTGTGCAACTGCAACATCGACCTCCGTCGCTCCATATCGATACTGGGTTAATGTAACGGTACCAGCATCATCAAGCTTCTTAATCGAATTCCCATTTACGTATGCCGTATCTTCGACTTTAACTTTAACTGGTGCTCGAGCACCATGCTCGAGGACGGATGTGTCTAGAGGGATTTATACGTGTAATGTGAACGAGGCTAGACTTTTAATTGACATGTCTGGATATCAGGGTATGCCTGCTTATGATATTTCAACTGCTGCTGATGGGGCTTGTACTATCGCGTGAGTGCAAAAGTATCGGAATCAGACACATTTCATTGCTTGTACTCTTGCTCACGATTTTCCACTTTTATCTAGATCTGCATGTGCACCGCCAATATCAGCTACTTCTACTGGCATAGCTCAACCAGGAGGAACAGCCAACCGTGACTCTAGCAACAATAACTCTTCATCATCAGTATCTCCAACTGTAATCACCATTATCGTGGTCCTTCTGTTAGCCATCCTCTGCTTTGCTATTGGTTTATACATGCGTCGTCGTGGATCTAGTCATGACGCTGCAGCTGCCGCTGCAACGAGAAATGGATGGAAGGATGCTTTTAATTACTTGGCTCGTCCATTCCAGTCTGGTGGTAGTCATAGAAAAGAGCCAGACCAAGGTGTAAACGAAAATGTAGTGAATGTGCCTGTATTGAAATCGGATGATCACGTACCACGCAAAGTAGCTGAACCTGGTCATTATTTAAGAGATAGTCCACGACAAGATACTGTGCCTAGTCAGACCTCAGGACTTCATACCCAACGAGTGCTTGATAGAACTCGTCGTATGGTGAGTGTGACATTTCAGTTTATGGGCCTATTCAGTTGTTGGAGAAAAAAACCGAGCTACCCGATCAGTACTCATGTCTCACACCAACTCTCTTTGCTTAGAAACTGACAAAATCAATATACATGTCAATGCAAGAAACGGAACAGAATGCTCGTGCGAATCATGGAAATCAATCTGCTGGTCCTCTCATCTTTGGATCTAATGGTGTGAATTCTAGTCCTGATGTTCCTACTACGAACAAAAAGTCACCACCTCGTGCTGCTAGAGATGGTCCTATTTATAGAACATACGGTGACGCTGTACGTGGTGTAAATATGTAGTAATGAGTTGAGCTGAGAGTTAATACAAAGTACGTTTAAAAGTAACGTCAAAACTTATTCTTGGAGCATTAGACGATCTTTTTGTCCACCATACAACGCTTGTATTTTGGTGTTTCAAATATACAAAAAACCACTCAGATACACTACTGTTACTGTCCCTTCATACTCTACAATCACCTGCGAGGAACAGCAGGCGGCCCTCCTTGAATAGAATCTAACTCGTAATAGTGCATCGTGGGAGACCCAGGAAACTGATAGAACTGCAAAGCAGGCGCACCCAGCCCATCGTTAGCAGCATCAGGTCTCATATTACCAGCATCTACTGCCGTAGTGGGTCTAGATATTGATATATGATCACCAACATGATGCTCCACTCCTTTCGTGAATTCTAAATAGACGATAGAGCCGATAATACCAATGTAGAACACAATTAATAAGAACCAGATCCCAGCAGATACTTGGTTTGATGCCGAGTAGAGGATTATGCCAACCGCGACGTTGGTCAGACCTGCCACAGAGACTGTACGTCCTAGATACCAGTGTATCTTGTCCCTTTGAGGTATCGTCTGTTGCAAGAATTTTGTGAGCTGGCTGAACGTTGGGCAAAAAATGGAGCATGAATTCAGACCCAGACTCACCAATCGTGAAGCCTTGAACATCTTGTTGATATATACTCCCAACGCAGCTTGTATAACACTTCCAAAAATGACCAGAAACCCAAGGAAAGCATGCAATCCATGCGTTGAGCTTTCGTCACCGCCGTCTGGTGCCTGACTCAAGGTGCCCCAGCCAGCAAACGTCAGGATCAACACCACGATTCCCAACATGACATAATGCGCTCTAAACCACCAG